GTGCTAAAGTTTGTCGATTGAATGGCGCAAGACCACAAAAGTGCCACCGTTAACTGTACAGTTTACACTGTGATGTTATTTCATCCTCCCAATGACCCTGCAGAGGGGAAACCAAGGCTCCGAAGAAGAAATTAGACTCAGGTCATCTGGCGAGTCCAATGTGGGGACTGAACTCGAGCCTGCCTGATCCAAAACCTACCCAGCGCTCCTGGGAGGGAGGGATGGGAGGTATGCCACAAATGTGCCCGACAGGTGGGTGGGGCCCCAAGGGCAATGAGGGGTTTTGCTTCAGTGGAACAACGAGGAGCCACAAGATCCAAGCCCAGGGAATGTTCCGACTTCTTAAATGTTAGGGAAGGGTCCTTTGTGCAGAGCGGCTCTTGAGGCCCAGAGAAGGCAGAGTACTTGGCCGAGGTTACATAGCTGGTCAATGGCAGAGCCAGGACTCAAACCCAGGGCTCCAAAGACCTGTTAGGGGAATTGGCTAGATGGGGCAGCAGCCTACATAATGAAGTTATATTTCATGGGGTAGCATAGCATGGCGGTTGTTTTCTGGCATTAGACCTTCCTGGCTGCATCCTGTGCCAGCCGTGTGAATTGGGAAAATTCTTTAACTTTTCTATGTCTCGGTTTCCTTTTTAAATGGGAAATCAAATAAGCTGATATTTAAGAAGTACTTAGCAGATGCTGGCCACATAGCAAGTGCTCATGAAAGAGGGCTGACTGCACACTGGGCACTGGGCTGCCTCTCTGAGCTCTGAACGTCTTGGGGAAGTACTGAGGCTCTGAAGAAAGAAATGGCTCCAGAGGGTTGGAGTGGAGCCGCTCATCAGTTCTAAGGATGAGGGTTTGAACTTTGGAAGCCTGAAGTGGACAATTCTGCCCTGAAGCATCTCTCTCCAAAGACCATGACTGAAAGCAGTCATCACTGGGTCCCTCTGGTGTACCACATACTGGGATGAACCGCAGAGTGAAGGGACTGGAAAATGAAATGAGCCGATCTTCACACTTGGTAAATCAGAGGATCTGACGTAATTCCTCTGCTCTTTGTCACCCTTCCAACACAGGAGAAGGCCACTGGTGGGACTCACTGTAGAGGTGTGCTGCCACACCCCAGCAGGGTGATGGTGGGTAAGTCTCTTCACCTATCCAAGCCTCAGCTTTCTCATCTCCAAACTGGGGATGATGATAAGACCTAACTGACAGCATTGTCCTGAGGATTAAATGAGATAATTAATGAAAAGCTCTTGGCACAGTGCCTGGCCCAAAGAAAACACTGAAAGTTGAGTATTATTATTTTTACTAGGGTATCATCTAGCCCTTTCCTGTTTCATAGAAATGTCTGGTTAATTCATACTGCAATGAAAAACAAGACGGCTAACCCCTTTTGGGTGCCTGTTAGTGTGAAAATATAATAACATAAGTTATGTTTTTCAGAGCTGCAGGTATGTGCACGGGGTACTCATTACCATGTGGATATGACCCCCATGAGGTGCAGGTAGGCCTGTAATTGAGCCACGTGAGTATATATCCCACCATGGTGTGTGCTGTCACTCAGGAATGAGCCTAACTACTGCCCTGTCAATAGTGCTACAGTAAGGACAGATGATGGGCTGGCTTACATGAGAGTGTGATAAATTTTCTGGTGAGGGGTCTGAAAGAATCCAAGCCTACTGCTTTACAGACAACTGGTCTACCCTTCATGACTGCTGTGAGTAGGCTCAACCCCAAGCACTTCTGGGACCTTCTGTGTACACCTGTTAAGGACAAGTTAATGTGTGACTTCCCTACAAGCTGCACAGTCTCAAGGTACATGTGGTGCTTCTGGGAAGAAACCTGGCACCCCACAAATGGGACCCACATCCGCTGGGAGGCACAGGTTGATGGTGCCTCCAGTGTGGCCTCTCCACAGGCTAGCAGGCCTTAGAGTTCCCTGTCCAGTTCAAGTAATTGAGTCTAGTCCTTGTTTTTGGAGGGGCTGACTGAGGGCAGTTGGTCTAGCCTGTCCTGTTCGTCCATACCACCAGCCAGATGGCATTCATCCATTTCATGGATGGCTGCAGGATTGGGGATGAGAAAGACACCTGGTGGTGTTGTTTGGCAGGTGTTTTATGTGGGAGGTATAGGAGCTGAGGCTGCCCCCTGTTGCTTCCAGTCTCTCAATAAGGTCAAGCAGAATGGCAATCAAATAAAGGTCAGAACTGTCTGGTGGAGGATGGCAGGCCCAGCAGTCAGGGAAATTTAAGGCACATGCAACAGCCTGGGTGAGCTGGACCAGGGTGTTTTCCTCAGTAAGCGAGGCTCTGGGTGGCTTGGAAATACAAAGGTCATTAATGTATCTTTGTCCCCCAAGTGTCCTGTGTCTGAGGTGTTCCCTCCCCAGGTGCCAAGGCTGCTGTTCTCCTTTCACCCTCAAACCGATGTGTTCTATTCCAGTAACTAGAATGTCACCCTTTTCCCAGTCACTCCCTATGCACCCCTTTCACCCGGAAGAGTCAGGTGCAAGAAGGACAAGGACATTTTTTCTAACACCCACCTTGAGTCATTATATCCCACGGTCTACATGTTGGGGACTCAGAGAAAGTACACATCAAGCACTCCAGTTATTATCATGACCCAGGACCATGTCAGTCCAACAGGAGAATCCAGGTGTTTGAACCACAATTCATTTTAAATCTCCTAAGCAACTTTTTGATAGTGCTGCCACCCAGGAGACACACCAACCAGGCTGGCCTTGCATTTGTGTTGAGGAAAGAAAGAAGCATTACATCCAGGAGTGGTGAACATGGATCCCTGAATTTTCAAAAACATCTCTCTTATCCTGATCATTGTGAAGGTCATGGCCAGGAGGAGATGGTCCCATCCTGGGGACAGCTGCATCCAGTGAGTGAACTGCTGTGTGGACCAGGAGGGAGAGCCAGAAGTTCATCAGTGCAGGCTCAATTAGTAGCTTTTGAATTAATTTTTGAGGAGGTTATTTCAGCACTCAGCAGTACCACACGGTTGTGGATCATAGGGAGCATGGAAGGGCCATCAAATACCTAGACCATCTGCCCACTGTTGAGTGCCTTTTGCGATAAGGGGTGCACTGTTGTAAGACTTCAAATAGTCCAAAAAGCCCAAAACACAGATTAGTCTCAAGAATCACAATGGTGTGGCCAAAGTTGGCCCATTGGACCAGAACAGCAGCTCTGTAGCCTGAGAAAGTGCAAAGCACCACAGATAGCTCCAAGTAAAAGGTACTATGTATTCAATCTCTCAGGAGTGAGCCAGGACAATGCTACATACACTGTGGCCTCTCTCATCACAGGACAAACAGATGAACTTTTGGCAGGAATCACAAATCTGGCATGAAAGGGTGGCCTCTGCATCAGAAGCATCAGAATCCTTTACTTTGTGCCCACTCTATGATGGTGGACATGTGCCATGTCTGGTAAGATAATGGATCCAGGAAGAAATGGAGACAATCTCGGCAGTGCAGGCTCAACCAATAGCTTGATTCGTGTCAGCCTCGTCAGAGAACGGGCCCTTAGCATGGGCATCTACATAAGTGGTCTAGATTGATCAGCCGCAATTTGTTTCCAGAGTTAGCTGAAAACATTGCTATCCAAAGCCTCCTATTGGGTGGCAGAATTACTATCATCTATCTCACATTCGGGGACTCCTTGAATCAGCAACCACAGCCACATTGCTTTTTAGCTAGAGTTTCAAGGTTCACACCCTTTGGGCTTGAGTTGGTCTGTCTAGCTAAAAGTTTGTCAGTCTTTTCAAAGAACTAACTTGTGGGTCAGTTTGTTTTCTCTAACCTTTATTACAGCCTTCTATGCTTGCTTTGGCTTTAGTTTGCTTTTCTTTTTCCAGTTTCTTAAGGTGGAAATTTAGGTTACTGATTTTAGACCCTTTTTTTTTAGTGAAGTAAATTACTTCAACTGACATAACCAGTGAGCAAATCCAGTCCCAAACCCAGGCCTTCCTGATTCTAGGTCTGAGCCTGTCTGCCCTCCTGTGGAACTTGATGCAGGGAAGGCCCCTGAATGAGGAAAGGTGATGGCAATTCCCTGTAGTGGGAAAGGAGGAATGTAGGGACGGCAGGAGGAGGTGAGTGGGCCAGGGGCCAGACACATAGGACTTTGGAGACAACAGTAAGGGTTTTGGATTTTTGTCTAAGTGTGATGGGGAGATACCAGAGGGTTTTTGAGGAGTGACATGATCTGATTTGTTTTAAAAAGAATTACTATTTCCTGCTCTGTAAAATGGGGATAACAGTAGTCCCTACCCATAAGATTGTCATGAGTGTGTGAAAGGGATTAAGCAGGAGAATGAGTGTAAGGGCCTTGGTGTAAGGCAGAATAAACTGTTGAGTGGACATTGGGCATGACGATGACACAGAAAGGTGCACTGAGGAGGAATTCAGGACGGGGCTGGGAGCTGAATACAGTAAGGACCTGGAGCATCTTTGCATACAGGCTAGAGTTCGAGTCCCTCTAGTCAGCTTGGCAGAACTGACCTAGAGTCAGGCCCTGAGCCAGGTACACTGCTGCCTAAGAGCCTGCTGGTAGCTGGAGAGAACGAAGAGGGGCACAGGGCTGGCTCTGCAAGTAAGCAGGAGGCAGCAAGGGTCAGGAAATGGCAGTCCTCGGCAATCTGTGTAGGAGGAACATGGAGAAGGGCATTAGATCTTCAGCTGAAGTTTCAGAGGCATATGCTGTCTAATCAAAGAAGGAGTTTATTGTTGATGAGATTATGGGGGCCTAAGGCCTAGCTCCTTCTCCACTGCCTCGGTGTACAGCCTTGAAGCACTGCAGGCTGTACACCTGGGAACCACTGCCGGCCCCACCTGGCGTCTCCAAACCTAGTGAGGGAGAGGAGGTGTAAGGAAAAAGAACACAGAAGAAAAAAAAAATCAGCAGCCCATGTTCAGGGGACTAGTAGTTTTAACAGTTACCCACCCAAGAAAAGCATAACTGTCACAGGTATAAGTAATAAGCCCCTCATCAGCGCGCTCAAGCATGCTTTGCTTGGCTGTGGCTGCGACCGGACGTGCGTGTGCCCAGTACAAGTGCTTTTCAGTCAGCCGGCTTGAGGACTTAAACTTCAAAAAGAGTTAGTGGCTGGCTTTGCCTCAGTCCCTGGCCATGGGGGTAGGGGTTCGCCAGACCGGGACACAGAACAGGCGGTGGGAGTGGGGTGGGCGGTGTCTCGAAATAGGCTGACAGGTACGGAACGCCAGAGCGACGCTGCCTGGCCCGACTTGCCACTTGAAGTGAGAAGCCCTGAGAACAGAGGAAGCTACAAACGCAGGCAAGGGGCCTTTTGTTATTATCAGGGGCGATGTTGTGATGACGCCATTGCCCCGCCAGTCCCCGGTCCCGCCTGTGAGGAAAGGGAAACCCCAGGGAAGGCGGAGGCCAGCAGGGATTCCTCAAGCCAAGCGCTCCCCTCCGTCCGCGGAGGGCAGGAAGGGCCACCCAGTGCAGCCTCTTCCGGGTCCTGCGACCTGATGGCGTTACCACGGAGACGCCTCTCCTGAGGCCTAGCCAGTTGAAAGTTTTTGTCTACGGTCTCCTGCGGAGGGGCGCGCCAACAGGGCAGGGTCAAGACTGCAGCAGCAACGCCCCACTATGGGCATCGCCCCACTGAGGGGCAGAGGGAGCACCACATTCGTCCTCATCGGAAGGCGCTTTGCTTGTGCGTCACTTCCGGTGAGCTCAGCGGCGACACCGGCAACATGGCCCTGAACGGCGCTGGTGAGGATTTGGGATGCGGGGAACCTGTGGCTGCGAGGTGCGGGGGCAGTCCACTCGGGCAAGACCCCCTCCATCTCTTGTGCGTCTCTTCCCTCAGAAGTCGAAGATTTCTCCTGGGAGCCTCCTACCGAAGCGGAGACGAAGGTGCTGCAAGCACGACGGGAGCGGCAGGATCGCATCTCCCGGCTCATGGGCGACTACCTGCTGCGTGGTTACCGCATGCTGGGCGAGACGTGTGCGGACTGCGGGGTGAGGAGAGATTTGGGACGTGGGGTTCGGGGATGGAGCTGCGGACCAGGCTGTACAGCCATTCCCCAGTTCTCCCCCTCTGGACCCCATCGTCTGGCGTCTCACCCCTGCTCCCGTCTTTCTGGCCCCTAGACGATCCTCCTCCAAGACAAACAGCGGAAAATCTATTGCGTGGCTTGTCAGGAGCTCGACTCAGACGTGGATAAAGATAATCCGGGTAAAGGACCGAGTGTGCTTGGTAGAGAAGCAGTGTGATGATAGAGGCCTGGGAATGGTAGGAGTGGGAGGTGACTGTGGAGTCTGGCTGGGGCCGAGGTAAGGTGCCTTCTTTCAGCTCTAGAAAGGACCGTTAATTCAGTAAGAGCATTAGCAGCACCTTCTGTATGCCAGACTCTAGAGAGTCTGAGCTTGATCAGGTATAATCCTGGTGGGAGAAATGAAGCAAGGACATAAATAAATAACTGTTACAAAGAAGACAGTGGATGAGTTGCCTTATAGAGAGGCAGGATAAACACCTCAAACACAGAAATAGAGCAATAAACACAGAAATAGAGAGTAAAGAGGTGGCTCAGGGCTGAAGTGAACTAACATCCTGACCATTCCACCCATTTTCTTTTCTTTTAGCTCTGAATGCCCAGGCTGCCCTCTCCCAAGCCCGGGAACACCAGCTTGCCTCTGCCTCGGAGCTCCCCGTGGGCTCCCGGCCTGCTGCTCAGCCCCCAGTACCCCGTCCAGAGCACTGTGAGGGAGCTGCAGCAGGGCTCAAGGCAGCTCGGGGGCTGCCCCCTCCTGCTGTGCCTCCAAATGCAGATGTCCTGGCCTGCACACAGGAGGCCCTCCTGCAGAAGCTGACCTGGGCCTCAGCTGAGCTAGGCTCCAGCAACTCCCTGGAGAGTAGCATACAGCTGTGCAATCTTATCCGGGCTTGTGCTGAGGCATTGTGCAGTGTGCGGCAGCTGCAGCACTGAGAGATCCCTCCTGAGAAAAACCCTCTAGAAAAACAACTGTTCCTCTTGTGTGATTTGTTCTTTTTCTTGGTTCTGAGTGTGCATGCCAGCCCCAGCTCCACTTGCCTTTTTCTTTTTGTCCCCACCCTAGAACTAGCTACTCATCTTTATGTCCTGAGATTAACAGGGCTTGTTTTGCTGCTCAGTTTCCCGACTCAAGAGGATGAGGGGGAGGGAGAGGACTACTGATACTTTTTTTCTGAGGAAGAGGCTACAGTCTCCTGAAAAGCAGAAACAAGAGGGACAGACCTCTACAGCACCCCTGCAGCCTCCTCATCCATCCCCTCGGTGAGATTTTGGGTTCCAATCCCCTTGGTATCTTCTCCTCCTCCTGAGCATCCTGTTACCATCATCGTCTCTCACCTCATGCCCAGCCAGGCACTCAGACACTGACAGAGCTTTGGTTAGGGACCAAGTAAAACAACCCAGTCTCCTGACAACTCTTCCCCCCTCCTTTTAGACGCTTTTCCTTGGGAGTTAACAATTGAGCAGAGTGGTTAAACACACTGTTGGGGGTGCGGGAGCAAAAAGAACCATGAAGTAACCGTGCCCGCAGCTGTTGGCCTCTTCCCTCCTGGCTTTCCTGCTGCCCTGCTGTCGGTGCCCCCTATTCCCTTTCCTCAGCGTCGTGACTGGGGTCCCGCAACCGTTGCCCTTTTAAGAGAGGCCCCGCCCACGCGGAGGGGGTGGGGCATAGGCGGAGTCGGAGGAGTCGGGGAAGGAACAAAGCGCGGCCTGCGGGCGGCGGCTGGGCTCGGCCGGCGGGGCCGCGAGGTGCTGGGCCTGAGCCGGGGGCCCGAGCTGAGCCTTGGAGGGAAGGAGTTAGCATCGCCGTCCGCGCCGGGCCGGCCATGAATGGGCTGCCCTCGGCCGACGTGGCGGGCGGCGCGGGCTGCGCCCTGGCCGGGCTCCCTCCGCTGCCGCGCGGCCTCAGCGGTCTCCTCAACGCTAGCGGGGGCTCGTGGCGGGAGCTGGAGCGTGTCTACAGCCAGCGCAGCCGCATCCACGATGAGCTGAGCCGCGCCGCCCGCGTCCCGGACGGGCCCCGCTACGCCGCCGGCGCCGCCAACGCGGGACCCACCGGTGGTACTCCCGGCGCGCGTCGCCCTGTCAACCTCGACTCAGCACTAGCAGCGCTGCGCAAGGAGATGGTGAGTAGATGGGTCCCGGGCCAGCTGGGGCGGGCGGGGTGGAGCCGGGGTGGGGGCTGCCTCGGAGCACGAGAGACCCCGGGCGGAGCGCGAAGGTACGGGACCGGGAACTGGGGGCCTGGTTCTCGAGAACTTGAAGCCCGTTGTGTAGAGGGGATATGGGAACAATAATTATAGTTACTGTGCATGGCAATAGTTCCTGCTATATGAAAGTTATCCCCATTTTATAGATGAGGGTCAGTGATGTGCCTAAAGGTTCAAGGGTGGAGTCTGATACCTCCAAATACTTGTGTTTAGAAGGTGCTGGGAGGTTGGCTAGGGCTGAGGGCAGCCGGGACCCCAACCCCAGCCCACCCTCAGTCCTTTGCAGGTGGGCTTGCGGCAGCTGGATATGTCCCTGCTCTGCCAGCTGTGGGGCCTGTATGAGTCTATCCAGGACTACAAGCACCTGTGCCAAGACTTGAGCCTGTGCCAGGACCTGTCATCCTCTCTGCACTCAGACAGCTCCTACCCACCTGATGCTGGCTTATCTGATGACGAAGAGCCTCCTGATGCCAGCCTGCCCCCGGACCCACAGCCCCTCACTGTGCCCCAGACGCACAATGCCCGTGACCAGTGGCTGCAGGATGCCTTCCACATCAGCCTCTGAAGAGCTGGCAGGAGGCAAGGGGCATGCACCCATGCAAAACACTTAGGAAACTCACCCCTCAGCGAGTACTCAGACTACAGTGCCTGCTTTTCCCCATACCACCTTACCACCTCACCTCACCTCACAGGAGGGCAAAGCCTGGGCCCCTCAGAGCAAAACTGCCAGTCTCCCTCCTCTCTGGGGTTAGCTGGCACTGGGGTGGGTTACCTGGGCTACAGCCTCTGCCCATGGAACTGGACCTCCACTTCTCCCACATGTGTGCACCCCTGCTTTAGTGCCAGACTGAAGGCTGGCAGTGGGACCCAAAGCATCTTGCAGTCCTTTTGGCATCTCTGGGATTGGGACGAGTATCTGGCTCCCACCTCTTTTCAACCTTTTGCTGCTGTTGGCAGCTGCTCAGGAGCATCCCATCTCTGGTCCCTGGGTTCCACGGCCCTAGACGAGGACCCCAGGTGCCATCTCTGCACCCACCCGTGGCCAGGAGGGCCAAGGCTCTTTGCTGGGTATTTAAGTTTAGGGGCCAGCCCTCTGGGCGCTTAAGTAAATAAATTCTTTCTCAGCGTTCTGGTGCTCAGACTACCTGGCTCCGGCGCGGGGAGGCCGTTCTGGGAGGTGAGGCGCCGCACTCCGCCGGCAGGCGGCGCCCGAACCCTCGTGAAGGAGGCTTGGCGGTGGCTGCGTTGCGGAGCGTTCCAGGCTGGCCGGTCCAGGTCCGGCGGTTGTATGACTGCGGCCGAGTCACTTCCCCTCTCTGGCTGGAGGCCTGGAAACCCAGCCCTCCTCCCCACTCGCTTTGGGCTTTCCTGGCCGGCCGGGAAGGAAGGAGAAGGAGCCGCCCATCTTGAAGAGAGAAACTTTCCACCCGGAGTGGAGGCGGAGTTGGGGCACAGGAAATGGGTGGGCCCGAGACGGTGGGCCTGAGGGGGCCCCTTTGCGGAAGGGGGAAGGCGCCTCCAAAAGGGCTGGCGAGCGAATGTGTGCCCTAGGGGTGGGAAGAAACAGCTGCAGAGGCGGAGGGGGTGAAGTGGCGGTGCCCTGCCCTCAAACGCCACACAAGCCCTGGAGGGAGGATGGGGCAAAGCCCTGGGCTTCGGGCTTGGGACTGGATCTGCGGTGAGGGTGATCGCGTCCCAGACACCCGCATTCTGCCCTTAGTCTCATTCCGACGGCCTGGCTACTTTAAAGCACTTGGGGCCTTTACGGTTGTATGTGAAAGGCTTTCTCTTACAGAAAAAACTGAGGACCACACCGCTGGGACTGGGGGCCAAACCCGGGTGTCAGGTCCACCGGAAGAAGCCTGCACATTTGGGGATGGTGGGTGCTCAGACCTCCACATACACAGAGCACCCCCACTTCTTGGGACGAGGAGAGGAGAGGACCTCGAAGCCGCACACCTAGGTTTAGTCACACTCACCCCACGCCCTGCCGCCCTGTCGCCTGCCTCCCGGAGACACTCAGGTGGCTCTCCTGGCGGATGGGCCATCCTGTTCAAACCGAGTATTTATCAGGCACCAGGCCGCAGTCCATTCACCAACCTTGCAGAGCGCTGACAGGGAGGGAACAGGCCGATGTGCTGCCCAGGACAGTTCTCCACGTCTGGGCCTAACACCTGCAGCGGCTCATTACCATGCAGGGCGGGCTGCCGGGTCTGCGATAAAGGCTCTAATCTGGGTGTGAACTCTAATCTAGGTGTGAACTGAGCAGTTAACGCCCCAAGGCAGGCTTCCCTGGGGAAGGACAGTGAACAGACACTCTTTCCTTTCCATGATAACGGATTTCATTTAATGAGACCTGGCAAAATCAGCCAAGCTCCGTACTGAACACTTTCCAAGGTATCCTCCTCTGGCCGACTCTGTAAAAGGCGGAACTGTAATTATCCCTATTTAACAGAGGTAGAAACTGAGGCTGAGGGTATTAGTGCTTTGCCCAGGGTTACACACTCGGAAGTCAGCTACTTGTGGAATATTGGGGCAATCCTCCCATTTGACAGCCGAGGGATCCGGTTCTGAGACTGACGAATGGGTGCTGCCCACGGGCAGGGTCACCAGGTTGGTCCCTGACTCTGCTCTCCCTGCTCTGGTTAAGACAGGAGTCGGCTGGGGTGTTGAGGAGAGTTGGCTCTAGCCCAGAGCTTAGGGGTGGCCCTGAGCAAGTCTCTTCCCCCTTCTACGTCTCTTTCCCCAGCCTGTGAAATGGGGCCACCAGCACGTACCTCCAGGGCTGCCGGCAGGAAGGGACGCTTACCCATATTACTGGTTAGCCTTTCCCCCGGCCTGCGCACCGCCCACGCGGCCGCGTGTCTACACCACCCCGGCGCGCACGGAGCAGACGCTGAGGTCCCCTTCGCACCCCGCCTGCCACCCGCACCCCCACCCCCACTACGGTCGCCGCGCGGCGCTAGGCCCCGGAAGCCGGGCCGCCCCGCCCCCGCCCCGCGCCGGAGCGCCGCCCGCCTTCCGACGGGGGTGCGGCTCCAGGAAACCGCGCGCTAGCCGCTCAGAGCTGCAGCGACCCGTCGCTCCCCAGACGACCCCGCCGACCCAGCCGGACAACGCGGCTGGCCCCAGAGGAGGAAGAGCGGCCCCGGGTCCGAACCTGGGACCCTCCACGTGGACGGGGCGGACGGTGTGGATAGGAGCCCGGGAAACCATGGGGACCCGGGCCGGGCCAGCAGTGGCGGGCCAGCGGGAGCCCCGGGTTTGAGGAGCGGGCGTTGGGGGCCATGACCTCGGTGTGGAAGCGCCTGCAGCGTGTGGGCAAGCGGGCAGCCAAGTTCCAGTTTGTGGCCTGTTACCATGAGCTGGTGGTGGAGTGTACCAAGAAATGGTGAGTGGGGGAGACGCCCGAGGGACGCCCCATACTGCTGGGGCGACATCTCGCCTTTAAAGCGTGAGAGAACCCTGCCCCCATTCCAGTGGCTCCCAGGGCCCCTGCCGCAGATTGGGCTGGGTGTCCCAACACAGACTCAAAAGTGTCCTGGAGTTGGGGAGTAGAGGCAGCTTTTGGGGAGTGGAGTTCAGGACTTCCAGGCCTGGGAGTCTGTCTGTGCCCACGCTTATCCCAGCTGCGTTCTGGGCTGGGGGAGGTCAGGCCTCATGTTTTGGGCTAGAGGGATGGTTCAGGGTGGCATCGGAAAGGGGAGCACATTTTGAGGTCTGCGGGTGCTGGGCCTGGGGCAGAAACCTCCATGGACTTAGTCCAGTTCAGAAAAAAGATGTTACCCCTTCCTCCCATGCACACTTACTGAGCCAGAGGAACTGCCCCCCAACTTCAGCCAGAGTGGGTGCTGGTAGGCTGGATATGGCTCCACAATGCCCTTAAAAGGGGAAACTGAGCACTGGGAGGGATGAGCAGGGAGGCGGGCAGTGGCTTAAAGGAGCCTGAGGGCCTTAGTCAAAAAGGAGAGGGCCTGGGGAGAGCGATGTGGCAGGTCCGGGGGAGATATGTGAGGGGGAGCAGGACCTGTCCAGTGCTGCTGAAGGGCCCAGGGGCATCTTGTGCACATGCCTCCACCCGCAGCTGCCCAGGCTCCTGCGTCACACCCTAAATATACGTGCTCGCTGGTGTCAGCTTCCCTTGGCTGGATTAGGACACAGCTGTGGGGGCCTCCCTCTGTCAGGCGGGACTAAATTTAGGTTCCGGAGAGGAAGGGCTCTTGGGGCAGGAAGGGACCTTGGGGTCCAAGGGGAGGGGAGTGAGCAGGAGACTGGGGTCCTCTGGGCAGCTGCCGTATCCCTGGGCTTGACTGGACCAGCCAGAGGGCTGTTCACTCCACTTGGTGTGGCCCGGAGAGGACAGGGGCTGGCTGGGGTAACACAGCACAGGGCTGGGATTTGCACTCTGACCTCTGACTTCTGCCTTCTGCCCCAGCATCCTGGGTGAGGCCAGAGGGACACTGGGCCTAGTTCCAGAGAGCAGGCCGAGAGTGCGGGTAGTGTCAACACATCTGAGTCACAGGAGGTGGGCAGGGCCTCCTTGTCTTCTTAGCTGGGAGCCCAGGCTAGGCAGCTGTCCCTGTCCAGGTCGCAGCTCCCCAGGAGGGTGCGCCCAACCTGAGTCAGGCTGCCTAGCCAGGCCCCACCCTCCCAGGCACCCCTTGTCCTCTTCCCCTTTCTGGGAAGGTCCCATGGCTGCCCTTGTTCAGCCATTGCCTGCAGTTTGGGCTCGAGGAGAAGAGCTTGGCTCCAGGTGTGACAGGGCTCTCGGCTCACCGGTGTGACTTTGCCTGGTCGCCACCCTCTCTGGGCCTCAGTATCCTCGCAGGTCAACAGAGTGGCAGTAAGCTGGGAGGACCCCGAGCATCCTGGCATGGGGCTGGGTGCAAACAAAGAGGGCCCTTGTGCTGCCTTTGGCCCAGTCCCCTCGACCACCCTTACCCTCTTGGGCAGCAGTTGGACTCTCTAACCCGAAGGGGCCCTCCCCCTCCCAGACCCAGCCACAGGTCAGCTCTGGGTCTGCGTCCGGGCCTGTGCAGGGGACTCTTCCAGCCTTGTCTTTCCCCTTCATGTGTCTTGGCGTCTCCTCTGAGTCTGCCCCGGCATATGCTGTGCAGCTTAGATGTCACCTGGAAGCCTTCCTTGATGCCCCTGCTGGGAGTCAGGGGACCTGCAAAGCTTAGAGTCCAAGGCTCTCGGTTTCAGAGGTGGGGAGCATGGCTGACTCTTGGGGCCCTTGGGCCCAGCAAACAGCTGGGCACAGAAGGCCTTGGGAGGGTGACGAGCTGCCCCTCTGCCCCTCAGACCACCCCCCATCCTCTGTCCTTCACGCCAACCCTGTGCCTTCCCCAACCTCAGACCCTTGCACCTGCCATTCCCTCTACCTGGAGCTTCTCCCTCTCCAGACACAGTCTATCCCTCCCCGAGTCTTGCCGCTGCTCAGACACCCAACATCAAGGAGATCCCAGTGGCTCTCTCTCCTCCCTGAAACCAGCTTAATTTATTTTCCTCCTTGATTGGCACTCTTCCCCCACCTCGTTGTCTCCAGCTCCTGAAGGGTCTTGCTTCTTTGCTCTGCTCTGCCCCTAAAGCAGGCTGGGTTTAGCATGTGCACCCCGCAGATATTTGTGAGTAAATGGAGTCTGTGTTTTACTCTAAGTCTGCTCTCCCTGTGGTTCCAAGTCTGCAGCGCCTCGCTGTGTTTCTGTCTGTGTATGCTTCCCTGTCTGTGTGTCTGTTTCTTGCTGTCTTTCTTCATAGCCCCTGCCAACCCACGTTGGGCCTTTGCCCTTGTGCCCCGGGCCCCACCCTGCCTCAGCAGCCCCACCCAGCTCCCTGGGGCTCCAGATAAGGGGCTGTCCAGGCCCTCTCCTGTGGGAGGCAGATGTGTGCTGAAGGAAGGCCCTAGAGGAGATGGAGAGGCTGGGCAGTGGGCCTGACTGAATAGACCCCTTTCCCCACCCCCAGGCAACCAGATAAGTTGGTGGTGGTGTGGACCCGGCGCAACCGACGCATCTGCTCCAAGGTGGGGAAGATGTCAACTGGGGGTCCAGGTTGGGGGTGGGGCCAGGGGTGGGGGGAAGCAGGCCAGGGCTGATCGGGACATGGAATCAGGTTCGCATTCAGATTAGAGTCTGTAGAAAGGAGAGAAAGATGGGGTCAAGCTTGGAGATAAGGGTAAGGGGTGTTAGGGAGAGTTAAGTTAGGGGAAGGACTCAGACTGCTCATCCTAGGCCCACAGCTGGCAGCCAGGCATCCAGAACCCGTACCGAGGCACTGTGGTGTGGATGGTGCCTGAGAATGTAGACATCTCCGTGACTCTATACAGGGTAAGTCTCTAACCCTCCCACATAGATGGGAATGAGAGGGCGATTACAACCCCAGGCATTCACAGGGGTCTCCTGGTGGGTTATCCATCCAAATAGGAAAGAACAGAAGGGTGAGACCAAGAATTGTGCAAGGGGCCTACTCAGCATGAGTGGCCCAGGAGGTCTCCTTGTAGGAGGTAGCCTTTCTCCATCACATGGAATATGAGAGATAGCTGGGGTCTGGGGAAGCTGGGGAGCATCCCAGACAGGAGAGCCCAGCATTTGTGAAGGCCCCCACCAAACACCTCCCAGCACGGGCTCCTCTCCCTGCCCTGCCCCCTCCCAGCAGCCCCTATACTCACAAGTGCCCCCTTTTTCCAGGACCCCCACGTGGACCAGTATGAGGCCAAAGAGTGGACGTTTATCATTGAGAATGTGAGTGGCTGGGGCAGGCTGAGACCTGGGGACCTGGGGACTCTGGAGCAGCACTGATGCCCTGTCCCCGGCCCAAAGGAGTCCAAGGGGCAGCGGAAGGTGCTGGCCTCTGCCGAGGTGGACCTGGCCTGCCATGCGGGGCCCTTGCCTGCCCAAGTTCCGCTGCGGCTGAAGCTGAAGCCCAAGTCAGTGAAGGTGGTACATGCTGAGCTGAGCCTCACTCTCTCGGGGGTGCTACTGCGGGAGGGCCGTGCCACGTGAGTGCTCAGCCACCCTCCTTGGCCCTAGTCTGCAGCCTCTGACCCCAGCACTCACCCCTGACCTCTGACCCCCAGGGACGATGACATGCAGAGTCTTGCAAGCCTCATGAGCGTGAAGCCCAGTGACGTGGGCAACCTGGATGACTTTGCTGAAAGTGATGAGGAGGAGGCCAATGGTCCAGGGGCCCCTGAGGCCCAGGCCCACATCCCCCAGCCAGGTGGGCTCATAGCCTGCCATGGATCGAGATCACCAAGGTCCAGGGAGGGTGGGGATAACGCCGGCCACAAGCCACTGGCTGTGTTGGGGAAGGGCCAGCTTGCGCATGCCCTGTGGTGTGTGCTCACTGCGGCCCAGGCAGTCTCAACCTACCCAGCGGCCCTGATTGTCCAAATCTGGTCCTTAGCCGAGTCCTACAGGATGGGTTCCCAGTGCCTCCCTGGGTCCCGGTCCTTTCCACCCCTGACTGGGTGCCTGCCCAGGTCTGTACCTGCCCTCGGGCAGCTGGGCCAGAAACGCAGAGGGGGGCTACGGCCCGTTCTCCATTCTCGCCACCTCCTGCTCTGTCACCAGCGTCCTCACCCTCCCTTTTGCTTGTTAAGGCGTTTCTGTCCGTCCTTGTGGGTCTCTCTCTCTCTCTGTGCATCGTGGGCCTGTCTATTCTCGCAGGCTGGGGCAGTGCCCTGAGGCTGGGGTGCTTCCCAGGTAAGCCCAGCACTCTAGCTTGAGGGAGGGGGTCTGACCAGCAGGGCCCTGCCCCGGGCTGACCTTGCTCCCGACCCCCCCCAGATCCCTCTCGGGAGCTGAAGACACTCTGTGAGGAGGAGGAGGAGGGCCGAGTCCAGTCTCGGGAGGCAGGTGAGGCCCAGGCTGGGGCTGGGGAACTGGACCTCTAGTCACAGGGCCCAGGCCTCAGTGCTCCTCACTTCCTCCCTCCCCAGCTGCCAGCCCTTCTAGTACTGAGGATACCAGTCCGGCCCCTGTGAGTGCCCCTGTGCCCCCAACCAGGGCCTCCCGGGGCCAGGGGTCAGAACAAGCTGCTGTAGCAGGGGGCCAGGTGGGGCCCAAGGTCCCCAGGCCCCCGGGAAGCCCACCGGAGATGAGGTGAGCTTCAGAAGCAGCCCCGCCTCCACCCTCTGCCCACTGTTAGGAAGCTGCGCACCCCTACCGAGCTGCCTTCCCAGGGCCCTAGCAATCCAAAGGGGGTGGTGCTGGGAGTGGAGGGCTAAACGGACCGCCCAACACCCCCTCCTGCTCTCTCCTCAGGTCTTCAGGACAGTCAGGCCAGGATGTGGCCCCCACCTCAGCCCCTTGGCTCCAGAAAGGCTCTGAAGCCCTCTGGCCCCCAGTCTCCCAAAGGGGGGATGAGGCCTCCAAAGCCCCAGGGGCTCCTCCAGCAGGAATGGGCTCTGCTGGGGAGACTCAGACCTGGACAAGCCTGCAGGAAGGAACAGAGGCCCAGAGAGCTGGGCTGGACCCAGGCATTGAGGACGGAGGCTCCAAAGACTCTTTGGGAGGGCAGAAACCCAAGGTTGAGGAGGTGGACACTGGGGACAGGCCAGAGGCTAGCAGGGTGGGCAGTGAGCACGGGTCAGGAGTTACAGAGGTGAACGCTAAGAGCTTGGAGGTCAGAGCTGGGGAGGCTGAAGAGAGTTCTGAAGTTAGTCAAGTGGATGCTGAGCAGAGGCCAAAGGTGAGACACGTGGACACTGAGGGACCAGAGGCTATAGGGGTGATGTCTGAGGCAAGATTCAAGGGCACTCTTGAGGCTCCTCGAAGGTGCTCCCAGGGGAGGACAGGGCTGGGGAGCAGGGACAAGGCTCCCACAATCCTGAGCCCACCCCCAGCAGAGCCTACAGGGCACTCCAGGCATCTCAGTGACCTCAAGAGGGCCAGGGCTCCTGCAGGCCAGGAGAGAGAGGGTGCAACGGTGAGGGGTGGAGTCCCTGGTGTTGGGAGGACACACCTGGAGCAGGGTCCCTCTGTTGGAGCAGCAGCTGCAGGGCCCCAGATGAGCAAGTGCCAGGAGGCCCCACCAGCAGGTGACCAGGCGGCGATGTCTAGGGATCTGGGGGTCTGGGAGGCAGAAGCTGGGGATTTGAGGGTCCTGGGAACAGAGACTTGGGTGGTAGAATCAGAGGTATTGGGGACCCAGGAAACAGAAGTGGGGGGATCAGGGTTCTTGGAGAGAGAGACTGGGACAGCAGAAACAGAGATATTGAGAGCCCAGGAGATAGAGGCTGCTGGGATGGCAGAGTCTGAAGAACTGGGGCCCCAGAAAACAGAGATGAGGGCTTCAGGGGCCCCACGGACAGAGAGTGGAATGGCAGAGTGTGAGGTACTAGGAACCCAGGAAATAGGGCCTAGGGGTTCAGGAGTTCTGGGGACAACGACTAGGGTGACAGAGACTGAGATATTGGGGACCCAGGAGATATCTGGGAGTTCAGGGATACTGAGGATAGAAGCTGGAATAGCAGAATCTGAAATATTAGGGGCCCAGGAGACAGAGGTGGGAGGTTCCAGAGTGCCAGAGATAGAAGCTGGGAAGGCAAAGGCTGAGATATTAGGGACTCAGGAGATAGAGGGAAAGGTTTTAGGGGTCCCAGGGATAGTACCTGAGACAGCAGAAGCTGAAATATTGGGGATCCAGGAGATAGCAGCTGGAGATTCGGGGGTCTCAGGGCCAGAGGTTGGAATGGCAGAGGCTGAGGAAATGGGGACTCCACAGATGGAGACTATAGTTTTAGAGGCTGAGAAGGCAAAGGCTGAGACTTCAGAGATCCAGAAGGCAGAGGCTAGGCTCTGGGGAGCCCTCAAATATGAGACTTCAAGGGCTCCAGTCACTGAGCATGTAGTGTTAGGGTCCCAGGGGACAGAGGCAGACACCACAGTTTTGCAGGTCCAAGAGGTGGAGGCTAGGGTTTTGGGAGTGTCAGAGGCCAGGTCTGAGATTTGGGGGTCCCAGGAAGCAAATATGGAGGTTTTAGGGCCCCCAGAGAACCAATCTGGTATCTTTGAGGCCCAGGAAGCAGAGGCTGGGGTCTCAGGAACCAAGAAGGGAAAAGAAGCTGAGGGAAACCTCCCAGAGGCCAGCCTGGCTGAGGCTCAGGTGGCCAGTGGGGCAGAGGCTGGGGTGCCCAGGCCCTCCGGGGCCTCATCCCCAGAGGAGCCTGAAGAGGACGGGAGGCTGCTAGGCAGCCAGGTAGGGATGGGGGCCGCCGAGGGCCCAGTCTGCTGCTTCCCACTAACCTGGGGCTGAGCTAACGGCGGCTCTGCATGGACCCACCTGGTTGACTGGGGTTGGGTGGGACGGGCTCAGCATCAAGGAGCCCCCTCACCCCCTCCTCTCTCAGGGTGCTCTGTCGCCAACCCTATTGTCTCTGGGCTGCATGGAGCGGGACACCCCAAGCTAATTTTCTGGGCTGACCTTGAGGTGTGGCTGCTCGTGACCTCTGATCTTGCCCGGGGTCTACTGATCTTCTAGGTGACCTCGGTAGATAACCCTGAACTGGAAACCCTTTGCCTGGCCCTGAGGCTCTGGCCAGTGGTCTCTAGTGGGGCTAGAGCTGTGGCTGTTTTGTGTCCAAGAGGCAGAGGGTACAGGTCCCATGTTCACATTCCTTAAGCCCATCCCTGTGTCCCCAGGCACCACCTGCCCTGGTCAGCTCCAGCCAGTCCCTTCTGGAGTGGTGCCAGGAAGTCACTGCTGGCTACCGTGGTGTCCGTGTCACCAACTTCACTACATCCTGGCGCAACGGCTTGGCCTTCTGTGCCATCCTGCACAGATTCTACCCAGACAAGATGTGAGCTGGCAGAGGTGGTGGGAATGAATGGGGGAGACTGCTGGGAGGGCAGTGGGAATCCAGCTTCTGACCAGCCAAGTGCTCTCTCTGCAGTGACTACATGTCCCTCAACCCACTCAACATCAAACAGAACAACAAGCAGGTGAGATGGAGAGGGAGCAATGTCTTGAGGGAAAGAGCGGGGTTGGTCTGTCCTGGGGGAGGAATCTATGAGTTGCAGGGCCCCAGCTGTGGCTTTTGGAAGTTCTGTCACTTTTTACCTTTTCGGTCCATAGTTTAGCTTTGTTTTTCTTAAGCATATTTCCAGTAGTTTTTCCAAAACCACCCTTTGGTGTGCAGTTGCTGGGTAACACGAGGGCAGATTCTGTTGCTAGATTTCTCCCAATAGGAGTGTGAAGGCATTGGTGGGCAAACGCTGGTGTGCCAGCCCCGGGACCCTTGAGCTGTCCGGGGTGGGCTGCGGCATCGCTGGGTAACGTCTGCACCGCTGACCCCCAGTGCACCCATTTCTAGGCCTTTGATGGCTTCGCGGCCCTGGGCGTGTCGCGGCTGCTGGAGCCGGCTGACATGGTGCTACTGTCGGTGCCCGACAAGCTCATCGTCATGACTTACCTGTGCCAGATCCGCGCCTTCTGCACCGGGCAGGAGTTGCAGCTGGTGCAGCTGGAGGGCGGCGGTGGCGCCGGAACGTACCGCGTGGCCAGCGCCCAGCCGAGCCCAGCCGAGGACCTAGACGCCGGAGGCTTGGCGCAGCGGCTTCGTGAGCACCGGGCCGAGGCTCCCGAGGAGCCCAAGGAGGCCGAGAACAGCCCGGACAGGGCGGCCCCCGAGGCGACCTCCAACGACCGCGCGGCCGAGGCCGCCCAGGAGGCGCGCCCCTCTGAGGTCCCTGCCGAAGGTCCCGGAGCCCGGGCGTACGTGCCCCCGGCGGAGGGGCTAGCGAATGGGGCCGGGGCACCGGGCGTCGGGGGCGGCGTGAGGCTGCGGCGGCCGTCGGTCAACGGGGAGGCCGGGCCGGTGCCCCCGCCCCGCGCGCACGGCTCCTTCTCCCACGTGCGCGATGCGGAATTGTAGGAGGTAGCCTTTCTCCATCACATGGAATATGAGAGATAGCTGGGGTCTGGGGAAGCTGGGGAGCATCCCAGACAGGAGAGCCCAGCATTTGTGAAGGCCCCCACCAAACACCTCCCAGCACGGGCTCCTCTCCCTGCCCTGCCTCCTCCCAGCAGCCCCTATACTCACAAGTGCCCCCTTTTTCCAGGACCCCCACGTGGACCAGTATGAGGCCAAAGAGTGGACGTTTATCATTGAGAATGTGAGTGGCTGGGGCAGGCTGAGACCTGGGGACCTGGGGACTCTGGAGCAGCACTGATGCCCTGTCCCCGGCCCAAAGGAGTCCAAGGGGCAGCGGAAGGTGCTGGCCTCTGCCGAGGTGGACCTGGCCTGCCATGCGGGGCCCTTGCCTGCCCAAGTTCCGCTGCGGCTGAAGCTGAAGCCCAAGTCAGTGAAGGTGGTACATGCTGAGCTGAGCCTCACTCTCTCGGGGGTGCTACTGCGGGAGGGCCGTGCCACGTGAGTGCTCAGCCACCCTCCTTGGCCCTAGTCTGCAGCCTCTGACCCCAGCACTCACCCCTGACCTCTGACCCCCAGGGACGATGACATGCAGAGTCTTGCAAGCCTCATGAGCGTGAAGCCCAGTGACGTGGGCAACCTGGATGACTTTGCTGAAAGTGATGAGGAGGAGGCCAATGGTCCAGGGGCCCCTGAGGCCCAGGCCCACATCCCCCAGCCAGGTGGGCTCATAGCCTGCCATGGATCGAGATCACCAAGGTCCAGGGAGGGTGGGGATAACGCCGGCCACAAGCCACTGGCTGTGTTGGGGAAGGGCCAGCTTGCGCATGCCCTGTGGTGTGTGCTCACTGCGGCCCAGGCAGTCTCAACCTACCCAGCGGCCCTGATTGTCCAAATCTGGTCCTTAGCCGAGTCCTACAGGATGGGTTCCCAGTGCCTCCCTGGGTCCCGGTCCTTTCCACCCCTGACTGGGTGCCTGCCCAGGTCTGTACCTGCCCTCGGGCAGCTGGGCCAGAAACGCAGAGGGGGGCTACGGCCCGTTCTCCATTCTCGCCACCTCCTGCTCTGTCACCAGCGTCCTCACCCTCCCTTTTGCTTGTTAAGGCGTTTCTGTCCGTCCTTGTGGGTCTCTCTCTCTCTCTGTGCATCGTGGGCCTGTCTATTCTCGCAGGCTGGGGCAGTGCCCTGAGGCTGGGGTGCTTCCCAGGTAAGCCCAGCACTCTAGCTTGAGGGAGGGGGTCTGACCAGCAGGGCCCTGCCCCGGGCTGACCTTGCTCCCGACCCCCCCAGATCCCTCTCGGGAGCTGAAGACACTCTGTGAGGAGGAGGAGGAGGGCCGAGTCCAGTCTCGGGAGGCAGGTGAGGCCCAGGCTGGGGCTGGGGAACTGGACCTCTAGTCACAGGGCCCAGGCCTCAGTGCTCCTCACTTCCTCCCTCCCCAGCTGCCAGCCCTTCTAGTACTGAGGATACCAGTCCGGCCCCTGTGAGTGCCCCTGTGCCCCCAACCAGGGCCTCCCGGGGCCAGGGGTCAGAACAAGCTGCTGTAGCAGGGGGCCAGGTGGGGCCCAAGGTCCCCAGGCCCCCGGGAAGCCCACCGGAGATGAGGTGAGCTTCAGAAGCAGCCCCGCCTCCACCCTCTGCCCACTGTTAGGAAGCTGCGCACCCCTACCAAGCTGCCTTCCCAGGGCCCTAGCAATCCAAAGGGGGTGGTGCTGGGAGTGGAGGGCTAAACGGACCGCCCAACACCCCCTCCTGCTCTCTCCTCAGGTCTTCAGGACAGTCAGGCCAGGATGTGGCCCCCACCTCAGCCCCTTGGCTCCAGAAAGGCTCTGAAGCCCTCTGGCCCCCAGTCTCCCAAAGGGGGGATGAGGCCTCCAAAGCCCCAGGGGCTCCTCCAGCAGGAATGGGCTCTGCTGGGGAGACTCAGACCTGGACAAGCCTGCAGGAAGGGACAGAGGCCCAGAGAGCTGGGCTGGACCCAGGCATTGAGGACGGAGGCTCCAAAGACTCTTTGGGAGGGCAGAAACCCAAGGTTGAGGAGGTGGACACTGGGGACAGGCCAGAGGCTAGCAGGGTGGGCAGTGAGCACGGGTCAGGAGTTACAGAGGTGAACGCTAAGAGCTTGGAGGTCAGAGCTGGGGAGGCTGAAGAGAGTTCTGAAGTTAGTCAAGTGGATGCTGAGCAGAGGCCAAAGGTGAGACACGTGGACACTGAGGGACCAGAGGCTATAGGGGTGATGTCTGAGGCAAGATTCAAGGGCACTCTTGAGGCTCCTCGAAGGTGCTCCCAGGGGAGGACAGGGCTGGGGAGCAGGGACAAGGCTCCCACAATCCTGAGCCCACCCCCAGCAGAGCCTACAGGGCACTCCAGGCATCTCAGTGACCTCAAGAGGGCCAGGGCTCCTGCAGGCCAGGAGAGAGAGGGTGCAACGGTGAGGGGTGGAGTCCCTGGTGTTGGGAGGACACACCTGGAGCAGGGTCCCTCTGTTGGAGCAGCAGCTGCAGGGCCCCAGATGAGCAAGTGCCAGGAGGCCCCACCAGCAGGTGACCAGGCGGCGATGTCTAGGGATCTGGGGGTCTGGGAGGCAGAAGCTGGGGATTTGAGGGTCCTGGGAACAGAGACTTGGGTGGTAGAATCAGAGGTATTGGGGACCCAGGAAACAGAAGTGGGGGGATCAGGGTTCTTGGAGAGAGAGACTGGGACAGCAGAAACAGAGATATTGAGAGCCCAGGAGATAGAGGCTGCTGGGATGGCAGAGTCTGAAGAACTGGGGCCCCAGAAAACAGAGATGAGGGCTTCAGGGGCCCCACGGACAGAGAGTGGAATGGCAGAGTGTGAGGTACTAGGAACCCAGGAAACAGGGCCTAGGGGTTCAGGAGTTCTGGGGACAACGACTAGGGTGGCAGAGACTGAGATATTGGGGACCCAGGAGATATCTGGGAGTTCAGGGATACTGAGGATAGAAGCTGGAATAGCAGAATCTGAAATATTAGGGGCCCAGGAGACAGAGGTAGGAGGTTCCAGAGTGCCAGAGATAGAAGCTGGGAAGGCAAAGGCTGAGATATTAGGGACTCAGGAGATAGAGGGAAAAGTTTTAGGGGTCCCAGGGATAGTACCTGAGACAGCAGAAGCTGAAATATTGGGGATCCAGGAGACAGCAGCTGGAGATTCGGGGGTCTCAGGGCCAGAGGTTGGAATGGCAGAGGCTGAGGAAATGGGGACTCCACAGATGGAGACTATAGTTTTAGAGGCTGAGAAGGCAAAGGCTGAGACTTCAGAGATCCAGAAGGCAGAGGCTAGGCTCTGGGGAGCCCTCAAATATGAGACTTCAAGGGCTCCAGTCACTGAGCATGTAGTGTTAGGGTCCCAGGGGACAGAGGCAGACACCACAGTTTTGCAGGTCCAAGAGGTGGAGGCTAGGGTTTTGGGAGTGTCAGAGGCCAGGTCTGAGATTTGGGGGTCCCAGGAAGCAAATATGGAGGTTTTAGGGCCCCCAGAGAACCAATCTGGTATCTTTGAGGCCCAGGAAGCAGAGGCTGGGGTCTCAGGAACCAAGAAGGGAAAAGAAGCTGAGGGAAACCTCCCAGAGGCCAGCCTGGCTGAGGCTCAGGTGGCCAGTGGGGCAGAGGCTGGGGTGCCCAGGCCCTCCGGGGCCTCATCCCCAGAGGAGCCTGAAGAGGACGGGAGGCTGCTAGGCAGCCAGGTAGGGATGGGGGCCGCCGAGGGCCCAGTCTGCTGCTTCCCACTAACCTGGGGCTGAGCTAACGGCGGCTCTGCATGGACCCACCTGGTTGACTGGGGTTGGGTGGGACGGGCTCAGCATCAAGGAGCCCCCTCACCCCCTCCTCTCTCAGGGTGCTCTGTCGCCAACCCTATTGTCTCTGGGCTGCATGGAGCGGGACACCCCAAGCTAATTTTCTGGGCTGACCTTGAGGTGTGGCTGCTCGTGACCTCTGATCTTGCCTGGGGTCTACTGATCTTCTAGGTGACCTCGGTAGATAACCCTGAACTGGAAACCCTTTGCCTGGCCCTGAGGCTCTGGCCAGTGGTCTCTAGTGGGGCTAGAGCTGTGGCTGTTTTGTGTCCAAGAGGCAGAGGGTACAGGTCCCATGTTCACATTCCTTAAGCCCATCCCTGTGTCCCCAGGCACCACCTGCCCTGGTCAGCTCCAGCCAGTCCCTTCTGGAGTGGTGCCAGGAAGTCACTGCTGGCTACCGTGGTGTCCGTGTCACCAACTTCACTACATCCTGGCGCAACGGCTTGGCCTTCTGTGCCATCCTGCACAGATTCTACCCAGACAAGATGTGAGCTGGCAGAGGTGGTGGGAATGAATGGGGGAGACTGCTGGGAGGGCAGTGGGAATCCAGCTTCTGACCAGCCAAGTGCTCTCTCTGCAGTGACTACATGTCCCTCAACCCACTCAACATCAAACAGAACAACAAGCAGGTGAGATGGAGAGGGAGCAATGTCTTGAGGGAAAGAGCGGGGTTGGTCTGTCCTGGGGGAGGAATCTATGAGTTGCAGGGCCCCAGCTGTGGCTTTTGGAAGTTCTGTCACTTTTTACCTTTTCGGTCCATAGTTTAGCTTTGTTTTTCTTAAGCATATTTCCAGTAGTTTTTCCAAAACCACCCTTTGGTGTGCAGTTGCTGGGTAACACGAGGGCAGATTCTGTTGCTAGATTTCTCCCAATAGGAGTGTGAAGGCATTGGTGGGCAAACGCTGGTGTGCCAGCCCCGGGACCCTTGAGCTGTCCGGGGTGGGCTGCGGCATCGCTGGGTAACGTCTGCACCGCTGACCCCCAGTGCACCCATTTCTAGGCCTTTGATGGCTTCGCGGCCCTGGGCGTGTCGCGGCTGCTGGAGCCGGCTGACATGGTGCTACTGTCGGTGCCCGACAAGCTCATCGTCATGACTTACCTGTGCCAGATCCGCGCCTTCTGCACCGGGCAGGAGTTGCAGCTGGTGCAGCTGGAGGGCGGCGGTGGCGCCGGAACGTACCGCGTGGCCAGCGCCCAGCCGAGCCCAGCCGAGGACCTAGACGCCGGAGGCTTGGCGCAGCGGCTTCGTGAGCACCGGGCCGAGGCTCCCGAGGAGCCCAAGGAGGCCGAGAACAGCCCGGACAGGGCGGCCCCCGAGGCGACCTCCAACGACCGCGCGGCCGAGGCCGCCCAGGAGGCGCGCCCCTCTGAGGTCCCTGCCGAAGGTCCCGGAGCCCGGGCGTACGTGCCCCCGGCGGAGGGGCTAGCGAATGGGGCCGGGGCGCCGGGCGTCGGGGGCGGCGTGAGGCTGCGGCGGCCGTCGGTCAACGGGGAGGCCGGGCCGGTGCCCCCGCCCCGCGCGCACGGCTCCTTCTCCCACGTGCGCGATGCGGATCTGCTGAAGAAGAGGCGCTCACGGCTGCGAAACAGCAACTCCTTCTCGGTGGATGACACGGACTCAGGAGCCCCAGGGGCTGCGGCCACGGTGAGTGTCCCCCCCCGCGGCATGGGATGCGGACTGAGAAGGAGTGGGTCCCCAGGGACCCCAGGGGCACAGCTGGCGCAGGGGTGGTGGCTTCAGGCAGCAGGACTCAGCTGGATGTGGGGAGGCGCTTTCTGACGGGAGGGATTGTGGTGCCTCTGAAGAGTCCCCCTCGGAGGTAGTGAGCCCCTGGTCAGGGCACACATGTCAGCAGAGGCTGCCAGGCTCAGCGTGGCTACCGGAGCAGGGTCTTGATCTTTAGTGGTTTTTAACCCAGTTAATGCAATCAAGGCCTGTAGTAGGAATTTTCCCGAAGGCTTCATGAGTGCAGAAAGGGCTTTCTGGACTGTAAAGTGGGTCTGTAGGGGTATTTCTTTCCTGGCAAGTGGCCGGGAGTCACTAGTAGACACAGTTGCCCTGTAAGACAGGGCGAGGTGAACCAGGGCCAGGATTCTGTGGCTTGGATCTTTAACTCCAGGTGCTGGAGACCAGTTTCCTCTCTTCTCTGAAAATGGGAGATTGGAGATGGGATGCTTGCTGGGTGCCCATGGCCTCCCAACCCCTGCAGGTTTCAGGTCAGAGTCTCCCAGGATGTCACAGGATCATTGCACTGAAGGGGAAGTGATCCCAAAGAGGTCAGGGACTTACTCAAGGACTCAGAGCCACTAAAGAGGTTCCCAGCCAGGGGCCAGGGGCTTTCCAGTTATGGTTCCACCTGTTGCACTGCCCTGACTGCGAGAGCAGGGGCAGCTCTGTTAGGCTACTCTAAAGCTTTGGCTGCCCAGGGATGACCCCTGAGTTCTAAAGAAAGGAGAGAATAAACTGTGGGAAAGGCTCTCTGGCAGAAGCAGCCATTTGAGCTAGGTAGGTAAGATGGGCAGGGTTTCCCAGGTGAAAAATGGGAAGGGATGGTTCTCAAGTGAAACTGTGATAGCAGGAAAGCTTAGGTCTCATTTAGGGAGCTGCCAGTCATCTCCTGTAAGGTCCCCTGACAGTGATGAGGCCAGCCTGAAAAGCAGGAGCCTTATGTGGAGTGACAGAGGTGCAGCATTGTGAGTGGGACACAGAGAGGGTACCCACAGGAGATGTGACAAGCAGGGGGCTGAGGGACACAGCCACTCCTTACCTGTCGGTTGGCCTCCAACCAGTCTCATTAATGTGTGTCGGTGGCTCTTTAAATCTAAAAGGGGAGGCTCCATCCTACACCCTTTTCTGCCCAAGTCTCAGCATCTGGTCCTTCTAAGCCAGGCCTCCTCCAGCCCTTGTCCCTGTCCCACAGGAGATATCTGACCTGTGGGGCTGAAGTGGACTCCCCCTCCTCAGCTACTCCCATGCCCCCGTGCCCCATCAGTGCAGTGGGAGGCTGCAGGTCTGACTCTACCCTTGGGAGCTTCCAAAATCCCGGATGGGATGAAATCAGGGACCTTGAAGCTGGGGTAGGGCCGAAGCATGCCACAAGGAAGGAGTGGCCCAGCAAGGCTTCCTGGAGGAGGGGCTACACATGAGGGTGTAGAAAGGGGAATTTGGCTCAGACAAGAGGAAGCATTGAAATTCCCATCAGGCCCGACATGAGTAAGCTCCCTTGCTGCTGAGGTTGGGGTTTCTGCACTCTCCTTTCTCTGCCCACCCTGTGGGTTGAGTCCTGCTGTGTGCCTGGCCTGCCCCTCTGACCCCTCATCAACTCCTCACCACTCCTCACAATGCCCTTCCAGGGAGGAATGATTACCCACCCCACTTTGCAGGTGGGACTGTTGAGGCTCAGGGAGATGAAGAAAGTGGGTAACACTAGGGAACCTGAAATGGGGCCCTCTACTGGGCCCAGCTCTATTAACTGGCTGTGTGACCCTGGCAAACCCCTTAACCTTCCTGTGCTCGTTCCCTGAGGAGAAACAACACAGGAAAGTCCTTCACAAAGTGGCCTCAAAGCACCATTTATGGGGCTGTCAGAAAAGCAGAACAGTGTTTTTCCCCCAGATGCCTTTCTGGAGCCCTGTAACCCCCAGATTATACAGGCCTGGGATTTCTCCCTATTTTACACACAGTGACAAAGAGGCCCAGTGGGTGGCCCAGAGGCAAACAAAACTGGTTGCCCTCTCAGGAACAAGTCTTTGAATCAGGCAGCCCTGGGCCTCAGGCCAGGCCCTGTGTGGGCCTCATCTCATACCTTGTTTCTTCATCTATAGAGCAGGGATGGCTATCGTTCCTGCCTCACAGGGCTGTTGGGAGAACGGAGTGAGTCAGCGCACACACAGTGCGTGACACACAAATGTTTAGTCAGTATCCCTTATTGTTGAATGTACCCTTAGTGCATTCTCTGGGCCGCATCCTGTCTGCAGGGTCTTACTGATGGGAGATGTAGGTAACCAATAGCCATGATGGGGAGGGTGCAGAGTGGGAGCTGGAATGGGGGAGGCCCAGGAGGCCACAGTGGGAGCATATGCCCAGGCTTCAGGAGGTGTGAAGGTCAATGTGAATGGTGTGCTCATATCCTTTCGGGTTCCCAGACCAATTCCAATGTTTTGGCGGGGGGGCGTTCTTCCCACACGCATAACACCAAGCAATTCCCGAACACCAACAGGATGTCAGAGAACTCAACTAATTTCTGATGCTACCTGCTGGGAGACAGCACCAGATTCCCCAGGTTAAGGGCTCTGTCCTATAAGACTGCCCTCCACCCCCGACTCCAGAGGTCAGTTGCAGGCCCCAGGCTTACCTGTGCTTCTGACCTACTGGCTACAAATTGGAGGTTCCCACGACCTCCCCCTTATGTCTGATTAATTTGCTAGAGCAGCTCACAGAACTCAGGAAAACACTAATATATACAGTTTAATAAAAGATACCATAAAGGATACAAGTTAACAGCCGGATGAAGAGATGCAAGTGCATAGGGCAAGGTCCCAAATAAAGGAACTTCTGTCCTTGTGGAGCTTGGGGACTGGCTCAGTGGCATGTGGAGGTGTCCTGGTTCCCCAAGTGTAGAAGCTCTCTGACAGAAAAGCAGGATCCCAGAGAACAGGCAGCAATAAGCTAAGCTCTTTTCAGTGGTTTTGTGAGGTCTTCATTGCACAGTCATGATTAACTAAATTATTGGCCATTGGCTGATTCAGCCTCCAGCCCCTGCTCTTGGGTGGGGGTTCAAAAGTCTCTCATTAACAGATAAGACATCATTTCACCTTTAAAACTGAAGCATTTTCAGGAACTGTGGATGAAGATGAAATATATCTGGTCACATGACTGACCAAATATTTATTTCTTATGACTCATTATGTTATAGTCAGGGAGGGAGGCAGAGCTCTGTGGGAGCCCGAAGGGGCTTCTGGAGGAGGTGGGAGCTGAGCTGGGTCATGAAGGTTGTTCATGGCCTTGAGCCCAAGATGGAGGCTGACTCTAGACTGAGGAAGCTATTTGGGGAAACGAAAGTCTTTCACTGGTGTCTGGGTGGGGTTTCGGGTGGTAGGAGTTGAGTCTGTAGCTGCCAACAGGCCTCAGCAATGAGGCTGGGAGCTAAGGAGGGTGTGGAGAGACTGACACCATCAGTGAAGGTTTTAGGAAGACCCCTGAGTTGTGGCTTGAGGGTAGAGTCAGCAGGCAGGGCAGACGTGGCTAGTGAGAAGGCCACCACTTAGCCAGGTCAGGGATGATGGCACTAGGCAGAGATGTCTGGGGCTGCCTCTCAAAGAGAGTTGTGTGGACAGTGCGGTGGTTGAACCCATTCTTCCCACCCTGTGAACTAACAAGGTGGCCAGAGCAGAAGCCATCAAGGGGGCAGGCTATCAGTTGAACTTAAAAGTTGGGGGTGCCCAGGGCTGACAGTACCAGAAGTAGCCAAGGGGCGGCTGGGGGCAGATCCTTCCAAGCTAAAATTGGTAGGTCCAGTCAACCTGTCCTGTCCTGAGTATTAGGTGAAGAGCACAATTGTCTCCAGGCATGAGAATCAATAAGGAGGGAGGGCGCCTCCTTTTGGTCAGAAGACAGAAGTGCTGGCTCTGGATGGCTCAGGGTCACCACCGGGGGGCCCAGGCCATAATGGAGATGCCAGCACCAGGCAACTGGAGTCAGAGGTGGCCTGAAGGAGCTCCACTGAGGAGGAGGCAAGAGGGGGAAGGAGAGGCACCAGCTGGGCCCTTCACAGCCTTTCACCCCGACTCTTAGAAATGCCCTGTGTGGCCAGGGTTATCTGCCCAGCCCCAGGACCGAGAACTGAGGCTCAGAGAGGGAGAGGGGAACTGACCTAGGAGCACAGGGCCAGAGGGGGGGCGTTCTTCCCACACGCATAACACCAAGCAATTCCCGAACACCAACAGGATGTCAGAGAACTCAACTAATTTCTGATGCTACCTGCTGGGAGACAGCACCAGATTCCCCAGGTTAAGGGCTCTGTCCTATAAGACTGCCCTCCACCCCCGACTCCAGAGGTCAGTTGCAGGCCCCAGGCTTACCTGTGCTTCTGACCTACTGGCTACAAATTGGAGGTTCCCACGACCTCCCCCTTATGTCTGATTAATTTGCTAGAGCAGCTCACAGAACTCAGGAAAACACTAATATATACAGTTTAATAAAAGATACCATAAAGGATACAAGTTAACAGCCGGATGAAGAGATGCAAGTGCATAGGGCAAGGTCCCAAATAAAGGAACTTCTGTCCTTGTGGAGCTTGGGGACTGGCTCAGTGGCATGTGGAGGTGTCCTGGTTCCCCAAGTGTAGAAGCTCTCTGACAGAAAAGCAGGATCCCAGAGAACAGGCAGCAATAAGCTAAGCTCTTTTCAGTGGTTTTGTGAGGTCTTCATTGCACAGTCATGATTAACTAAATTATTGGCCATTGGCTGATTCAGCCTCCAGCCCCTGCTCTTGGGTGGGGGTTCAAAAGTCTCTCATTAACAGATAAGACATCATTTCACCTTTAAAACTGAAGCATTTTCAGGAACTGTGGATGAAGATGAAATATATCTGGTCACATGACTGACCAAATATTTATTTCTTATGACTCATTATGTTATAGTCAGGGAGGGAGGCAGAGCTCTGTGGGAGCCCGAAGGGGCTTCTGGAGGAGGTGGGAGCTGAGCTGGGTCATGAAGGTTGTTCATGGCCTTGAGCCCAAGATGGAGGCTGACTCTAGACTGAGGAAGCTATTTGGGGAAACGAAAGTCTTTCACTGGTGTCTGGGTGGGGTTTCGGGTGGTAGGAGTTGAGTCTGTAGCTGCCAACAGGCCTCAGCAATGAGGCTGGGAGCTAAGGAGGGTGTGGAGAGACTGACACCATCAGTGAAGGTTTTAGGAAGACCCCTGAGTTGTGGCTTGAGGGTAGAGTCAGCAGGCAGGGCAGACGTGGCTAGTGAGAAGGCCACCACTTAGCCAGGTCAGGGATGATGGCACTAGGCAGAGATGTCTGGGGCTGCCTCTCAAAGAGAGTTGTGTGGACAGTGCGGTGGTTGAACCCATTCTTCCCACCCTGTGAACTAACAAGGTGGCCAGAGCAGAAGCCATCAAGGGGGCAGGCTATCAGTTGAACTTAAAAGTTGGGGGTGCCCAGGGCTGACAGTACCAGAAGTAGCCAAGGGGCGGCTGGGGGCAGATCCTTCCAAGCTAAAATTGGTAGGTCCAGTCAACCTGTCCTGTCCTGAGTATTAGGTGAAGAGCACAATTGTCTCCAGGCATGAGAATCAATAAGGAGGGAGGGCGCCTCCTTTTGGTCAGAAGACAGAAGTGCTGGCTCTGGATGGCTCAGGGTCACCACCGGGGGGCCCAGGCCATAATGGAGATGCCAGCACCAGGCAACTGGAGTCAGAGGTGGCCTGAAGGAGCTCCACTGAGGAGGAGGCAAGAGGGGGAAGGAGAGGCACCAGCTGGGCCCTTCACAGCCTTTCACCCCGACTCTTAGAAATGCCCTGTGTGGCCAGGGTTATCTGCCCAGCCCCAGGACCGAGAACTGAGGCTCAGAGAGGGAGAGGGGAACTGACCTAGGAGCACAGGGCCAGGGAGGGTGAAGGCTACAGTCTTTGCTTGAGGAGACACTTTCCCTAGAGGGAGCCGCGGATGGATTTCCCTGCGTGCAGAATCGGGGAAGCAGCCTGGGAGGGCAGGGCCTGGGATTGAGGGCCCCAATTTCCCTGCGTGTGCACGAAGAGGCCCTGTGGGAACCCTTCCAAGCCCTCACTGGCCCCTCCCTCCGCAGGAAGGCCTGAGCCCTGAGCCCAGCCCTGCCTCTGGCCCATCTGTAGCTGCAACCCCACAGCAGCCCCCTGGTGAGTAGTTTTGAAGGGGTGATGACCCAGCTCAGCTCAGGCTGCTGACAGTTCCTGACATGGGGACCCCTTGGGGGCAGGTACCAGCTGGGGGTGCCTTAGCCTGGTCTCTGTCTGCAGGTGAAAGTCCCCCATTGGAAGAGCCACCCCCAACCCCAGGGGAGGAGTCTGGGCTGGTAAGGACAGCTAAGGTGGGAGGAGCTATTGATGACACTTCCTAGGCAGGGCCTGGGCTGAGCCCACCTTGTTCCGTGCCCTGACTTTCTACCCCAGCAACGGTTCCAGGACACAAGTCAGTACGTGTGTGCAGAGCTGCAGGCCCTGGAACAGGAGCAGAGGCAGATAGATGGACGGGCAGCCGAGGTGGAGACGCAGCTCAGGAGCCTGATGGAATCAGGTGGGTGGGCATCTGGAGTCTACTCCCCAGCACATGCCACCAGATCTGCCCTTCCTGACCTTGGGAGGAGTTGGGAGGAGGTAAGGCTGGGGTCATTGGCCTCATTTACCGCTGGGCACACTGAGGCCCTGAGCCAGGAAGCAGATTGCTCAAAGGGAGCAAGGCCCCTCTCCCAACCCCCAGCCATCCTGCTCCTGCCACCAGGGTGGGTGACAGGCCTGGTAATTGTCCTGGCCCGGCTCAGGTGCCAACAGGCTGCAGGAGGAGATGCTGATCCAGGAGTGGTTTACACTGGTCAACAAGAAGAATGCTCTCATCCGGAGGCAGGACCAGCTGCAGCTGCTGTGAGTGGCGGCCCCTCACATGCAGGCCTGGTCCCCAGGCTGCCCAGGGCCTGCAGGACACAGGGGATTGGCTTCTTTGCTTAGAGATATCCACGGCTTACTTCTTTTTACAAAGATCTTTTTGAGAAGTTGCTCAGCCATCTTACTTCTTTTCCTATCTAATTTCCTATGTAAAATGTGTACCTCTTAAATTGGTACTATTTTTAATGAATAAGAAAACTGATGCCCAAAGGACACTGAGACACAGGCAGGGCAAGGCTGAGTGTCCCAGTTTGACCCTGGTCCTTTACAGTAAGGAACCCTGAGGTCTAGAGAAATCTGAGCTGGTTTCAGATGTGACCTTGGGCCATCTCCGCCTTTATGGTCTTGCACGATGAAGGCGGTTTTGCCTCCCTTTTGCATTTTGGATCGTTTTTCAGAATAATTTTAGCTTCATTCTTGCTGTTTATTATGAGTAATTTTCATCCAAATAATCCTGCAAAGTTGTTTCTTATTTAAAGAAAGAAAAGGACAGCAGGAGTTGGAGGAGACAATATAAACATCCAGCAGCTAGAGAGCAGTTGGAAGGGAGATGATCTGGGCTAGGGACTGGGGTGTAATTCTGCCCCCACCACCCCAGCCCTCCGCACCAAGCGGGGTGGGAGCCAGGGAGCGGGCAGAGCTCTGGTGCTTCTGCGTGCTGCTCCCCTTCCCCTCACCTGCCCTCCCCCCCCCCCCCCCCCCCCCCCCCCCCCCCCCCCCCCCCCCCCCACCCCCGCCACCCCTCCCGCCAGCATCGAGGAGCAGGACTTGGAGCGGAGGTTTGAGCTGCTGAGCCGGGAGCTACGGGCCATGCTGTCTGTCGAAGGTGGGAGATGGGGCCCGAGGGGCTGCGGCCAGGCCAGGGCCCGGCGCCTCCTGACCCTCAGCTTCTTCCTCCGCCCTCAGACTGGCTGAAAACGGCCGCGCAGCAGCACCGAGAGCAGCTCCTGCTGGAGGAACTGGTGTCGCTGGTGAACCAGCGCGACAAGCTGCTCCGGGACCTGGACCACAGGGAGCGGACGTAAGCGGGGCCGGGGCCGCGCCGGAGTGCGGAGGTCGGGGTCGGGAGCAGGGCTCGTCCGGCCCAGCACGGGGCTGACCCCGGCCGTTCGCCCTCAGCGCCCTGGAGGAGGACGAGCGTCTGGAGCGCGGCCTGGAGCTGCGGCGCCGCAAGCTGAGCCGGCAGCTGGGCCGGCGCGAACGCTGCGCGCTGAGCTGAGTCGCCGCCCTGCGGGCCCGCTAGGGCCTCTGCTGCGCCGCCCCCACCTTTGCTCGGGAGGACCGGCCGCCTGGCCGCCGCATTCAGGGCCCGGCGTCGCCCCTTTGCGGGGAGGAGTGGAGCGGCCCGTCTCCCGGCGGACGGGAGACGCAGGACGGCCGCGCCGGCCGGGCCGTATTTATTCGTCCGTGTGAGTGTGTGTTCGCGGAGGCTGGGGGTCCCGGGAGGCCGCGCAGAACTCCCCGACGGCGGGGCCGGGTGGCCAGCCCCGCAGAAGAGGGCTGGCCTGGGAACTACCGCGCCCCGCCCTCCTTCCCTTGCGGTTCCTCGCGAGCAATAAAGTTTGACAAGGTGACACCCGCGCGGCCTTTCTCAGGACCTCTGGGGCGCCCAATAGACGGAAGGGGGCGGGGCTTGGGCCGATAAGCGGTCTGAGACGCAGTGCGGCTGCGCCCGCTCTGAGGCTCTCGGATGCAGGGAGGCTGGACCTCGGCGCTGGAAGGAGGGTAGGGTCTAAGGATGCTGGGGGTTTGGGTTGTTAATAGCTGTAAGTCAGTCCCATTTCGAAAGAGATGAAAACACAGTCGGGGGTGCTGCCCATTTAATTTTTTTAACATAATTCCCTGAGGTCCTCCCACCCATTTCTCCTCTCCCTTCTCCAGAGGCTTCCTCTCCAGATTTCTCCAACTGAAAGCTCAATTCCCATCATCTGACACCTGTCAGCAAGCTGGGGCTTGTCCTGAGGGTGTGGTTGGGGCTGACAGGGTGCTCAGAGCCAGTTCATCCTGGCCTATGATGCCAACTTGGTCCTCAGCGGTCGAAGGATCACTGGACCCAAAGAACTTCACCACGGTGCGGACCTGTGGCAGCTCCGAGAAGGTCTCCACAGTCAGCAGCATGGCCAGGAGCCCCAGGAGCAAGTAACCTGGGGAAGAGAGGTTGCTAGGGCAGCTCTTAGGGACCTGATGATGCTCTCTGCCCACCTCCCAGCCTGGTGACCCACCCTGAGACCCGGGGCCATTCACAATTCTAACACTGAAGTCAGAGTTCTTCCAACTACACTCCCCCCTCCGTGCCCTAGGGCAGGGCAGGGTCCCACCACCTGTGAGGCTCAGCCTCCCCAGTGGTTTATGGGAGTCATCGTCCAGCCTCCTGTTCCCTCCTCTCCACACCCTCTCACTCCTTGGAGGCTGGACTCACCGAGAAGTGCGAGCTGGCCAAGGTGGTAAAGCACTGGATGCAGGCCACGGCCGCGACTGGGCAGCAGGTCCCCCAGGCTGATGGTACTGAGTGAGCTGAAGCAGAAGTAGATGGCCTCCAGCAGGCTGCAGTCGCCCTGGAGACCCCACAGCACCAGGGCTGGCAGCAGCACGAAGGTAGTAGCCACTAACAAGCCCAATCCAGCTGCCTGTAGCAGCGCAGCCCTGGCTGGCACCAGCTGCCAGCGGATAGCCACCCAGGTACCCGGGAGGCTGAGCAGAGGCAGCAGGCAGTGGCGTAGCACAGCCACAAGTGCTAGGGAGGCTGGCAGCCCCAGGGCCGCATAGACCACACAGAAGGCCTTTCCACCTGCTGACAGTGGGGCCATGTGGCCATAACCTGGAGAGGAGAGAGACAGGGGCAGTGAGCACTCGAGTGGGATGCCTGCTGTGATCCCCGCTCCCCCCAACTATCACCTCCCACAGGAGGCTGCCCTCTGGTGGCTGAGACTGCTAGCTTGTTCCTTATTCACTGGGGCTTTTGGGCAAGTCCCTTAACCTCTCCCGGCCACTCCTCTTTTCCTGAAATTGAAAGGATCAAAAGTTCCTCAAGCTTCTTGTAGCCCAAACGGTCTGAGAATTGCTATCCTGCTCCAGAGGGAGCGTAGCTTTCTAAGAGGTTCCTCATCTCTGTGCCTGACCAGTACTTCCTAATCCAGTGGGCAGAATGTCACCCTCTTTCATTCCTCAAAAGTATATCGAATCATCCTGTGTGTCAGGTCTTGTGCTAGAATCTGAGCCGGTCCAGGCCCTGCCGTCTGGTGGGGGCCACAGGCAGGGGAATTAGTCAAGACACTTGATATGAAGGGCTGGAGGCAGCCCGAAGGAGCATTCCAGGCTGGGAGATGGGAGAGTGCGGGTGTTGGGAAAACAAGCTCAGCTGGTCCAGAGGCTGGAAATTCAAATGCCTAGAGGAGCCAGATGTGGGATAAGAGAGAGTTGTGGGGCCCAGGGTGGCCTGGGGTTGGGGTGGGGAAGTATGCTCTGTTCCAAAGGGCAGGCCCTGTTCTAGTCCAGCCAATATGTTGCTCTGCAGGAATTCTGGTTCAGCGTAAATAGGTTTCCTGATTTTCCAAAAGAAGTTAGAAACACAGACTTTCATTTAAAAATATTTAGACACTTTACGGGACAAAGCTCCCTCCCCCCAGGGCTGTGGGGCCCATTGCTTTATTTATCTGGGCCTTTGCACACTCTGTTGCTCATCTCTGTGCCCTCTTGCTCTGGCTGACATCTCATTAGGACTTCCTCTCCCAGGAACCTTCCTTTACATTCACTCCTGAATCAGTGGCCCTAATCTGTACTCCCCAGGTTCACTCCATTTCTCTCCATCCAGGAATCCATCCCACAGTACGTTCCACATCTTGCCTCAAGCCCATGGGGTCTGGGCTACTCTCTGGGTCTCAAAGGGAGCCTGGGGTTTGGGCTGGGGAGGCCACACCTCTCCTGGCAGCTGAAGTTGAAGCACCAGTTGGGGTGTGTTGGTGTGGGGAGTCCCAGCTGTGATGTCAGCCTAATAGGGCCTTGGCTTTGTCTGGTAATTTGGGGCTGGGGGAAGGGCTGCACCTCCAAGGACCCCAGGAGCCCCCTCCTGCCCAGCCGCCTGGCGGCCTTACCCGTGGTGGTGAGGATGCTGGCAGTGAAGAGCAGGGCCGAGGGCAGATCCCAGTTCCTGGTCTCTGAGCCATGGCCCAGGCTGGAGACCCCATAGGCCTGGGCTGCCAGGGCGGTGCCCAGCAGCTCCTCCAGTGCCCCAGGTGGCAGACAGGCCCCGTACTCTGCCTGGAAAGTGGCCAGCTCGGCCCTGAGATTGGCCCGGAGCTGGAGCACTGGAGGCCCCTCCAGGGCCTGGAGCACTGCAGCCCCAAGCGCCAGGGCCAGCAGGTGGGCCACAACCAGCAGCCCGTAGCGGGCCCAGGGCCTTGGAGCGCCCATGGTGTGCCGCCAGGAGTCCCAGGTGCTGTGGGAGCTCACTACCCCACCACAGGCACCTGGGAGGGGCTGGCAGGGTGGGGCTGGGAGAACGGGCTCTGTGGGTAGCCAAAGAGGGAGGAAAGCTGGGGCACAGCTAGTGAGCGTGAGTGGGAGAGAGGAGAGGCAGCTCAGCTGGGAGGTGAGCTGGGCGGCCCCACCCGGTTGCTGGGGGCAAGGCCAGGATCTGGCAGCTGGGGCAGGGTGGAGGAAGGCCCCAAGTCTGGCTCAAAATTGCACTTGGTGGTTTGTCCAGAGATGCTTTCCCTCAGTCCCACACACTCCCTTCATCTGCTCAGCAAGTGTGAGATCCTGAGGACACTAGGGAAGAGGGTAGACACAGGCCCTCCCCTCCTGGTGTTCACCCAAGAGACCTGCCAGCAGAGAACCGACCAGTTCACATCATGGTTGTGAGTTCCCTGGAGAAAATGCCCTGGCTGATGGGAGAGGGAGGACCCGGGATCCCACCGGGAAAGCTGTCTTAGGAGTGACACTTCAGCTCAGGAAGGGGCCAGTCGAGGTGGGGAAGAGCCGGGGGTGTGAGAGGAACGGGTTGGCCATGGGGGTGGGAAGGACAGAGGATGTTGAGGACAAGCCTGGCCCAGGGAGACCTATGGAGGGGCCACTGCAGGCATCAAGGTTGGAAGGGCGGTGGCCTGGAGTGGGAAGGGAATGGTGGGATTTGGGATGGGTCAGGTGTGGGCAGGGGTGGTGAGGTAAAGAGAGGAGCCAGATGCCCACAGAGCCCTGGACAGGTGATGCCCCCAAGCCTCTATTCCAAGTTCCTCCTGAGAGCCCTTTGTGCCAGGCCTCCTGAGTTCTGCCCTGCTGACCACTGGACGGGGAGTCTGACTGCCATGGACTGTGCAAGGAGGGGCAGGGGAGCCCGAACTACAACTGCCCTAAACCATGGAGGGGCTGAGCCCAAGGCTAAGGGCCCTGCCGGGGAGTAGGAGTGTGTCCACAGAATCCCTTGGCAGTAAGGGAAGTACGAGTAGAGTCGTGTTCCAGGCTGGGTCACCCCTCCTGTGCTCAGACCACGGGATAGAGAAAAACCCAGGACAAGCCCCCAGGATGCTGCCCAGAGGGCTCTGGGCTCCTGAGCTCAGCAGGCTGCCTGGGCCGGGAGCACGGCCAGGGAAGAAGTCCCAGGAGAGGCAATGTTGCAGCTGGGCCCTGAGGGTAGGCAGGGACTGGCCCGGCAGCAGGAAGAATCGGGGTGAACAGGACTTGAAAAATGGGAAAGGCCTGGCCAGGACTGGGGGAAGGTGGGAGAGGGTTCCAGGGAGGCCGAGAAGGGCCTCGAATGCCTGAGGCCAGCGGACTTGATCCTGGCTGGGGGTATGAGGTCACCAGGGTAGTATGATGGGTTGGATCCCAGTTACCTCCAAGAAGAGCGACAGGCTGCTTGGGGAGACAGCTTGGGGAGTTTATTTGGCTTCACTGGATTCTGAGGCCTAGGCACCAACCCTGGCTGGGCAGCAGGAAGGCACCCAGAGAGACCTGGCCCCAGGTGACCCCAGGACAGGGGTCCAGGCACTAAGCCCTGAGGCAGGGGCCACAGTAGCAGGGCTTGGTCAAGAGTGCTGGTGACAGCTGAGGCCGGCCCCTCTCCCCTGCACCTCCCCTCCTCCCTCGCTGGGGCAATTCCCTGAGACAGGCTCTGGTCCTCCCAACCAGCTGGGTACAGTGTCAGGCCCCAACAGGGCAGGTAAGTCAGGGGACCCACAGGTTGCAAGAGTGCGGGGGATGCAGGCCCCCCATCCAGTGTGAAGGCTTCCTGTGCAGTGTAGTGTTCCTGACCTTATCACAGAGGTGGGGTCCTTGGGGACCCAAGGTAGCCGCAGAGCTTGCCCCACCCCTGTTCCAGTGTATGTTGTGGCTCCTCTAGGGCAGCTGGAGCATGAGCAGCCCAGCCCTCAGGGCCCTGCCTCCGGCACCCATGGGGCCTGAGCACCCATGTCTTTGGTCTGTGCCCTGCAGTCCTGAGGGCCTCCCCGAAAGGGGTTGGCAGGTGGAGAGTCCCAGAAGGGGTCTGCGTCTGGGAATAAGGTCCAGGGCGCCCGGCGGGGCGCAGGCTGCGGAGAGGGCAGGGGTGAAGGCCGTGGCCCGGCTGAAACGAAGCTCCACGGATCGATGCGGCTGCGTAGGGGTGAGGGCCGAGGTCGGCTGATGAGGCCCAGGGGTGGTGAGCGTGGGGTTCCCGGGGTGCCAGGAGCAGAGCGTGAGATCCCTGGTGGGGGTGAGACAGTGCTTCCTACAAAGGGAGAGGGAGTACAGGCTTAGGCAGCAACCAACTCCTGGGTGTCCCCAGGAGCCACTGCCCTACTCTGGGCCTCAGTTTCCCCATCTGCACAGTGAGCTATTTGACTCATAACTTCCATGGCTTTTTACTCTCTGTGGTGCATCTGTTTATTACGCAGGGCCTAGAAGCGAGGCTCCTGGAGCAGGCTGGCCTGGGCTTGGGTCCCAGCTCTGCCACTTAGTGGTGGGAACCATGAGTCCTTTGATCTCTCTGTGCCTTAAATCTCCTTATCTGGAAAATGGGTATAACCAAAGCACCCGGTTCGCAGGATCATGATAAACGAGACCCCCAGTGCCCCTCAGTGCCCTGAGGACCTGGTTCGGGGGTCTAGCAGAGGGCTGTGGCTGGGGCCCTCCGGGCACGTCCGCACCAGCCCTTCCTCTGCCAGTGCGCGGCGGGCCTCCCACGGGCCACTCACCGCGCCTGTCCTCCGCTCGCCTGGGGCTCTTGGCGGATGGCTGGCCGGCGGGGACCCCCAGCTCCAGCGGCAGGGGCGCGGGCGGGCGGGGGGTGTCAGGGCTCGGCAAGGAGACTGGGGCGTCGCGCGTCTCGGGGGAGAAGCGAATGAGCGGGGAGGGGGGCGGTTCGGCTGGGCACAGCGTGGGCAGCGGCGCACGCGGCGCTGGTGGGGGCTCCCCGCGCTCGCGGCCCGGGGACCCCGGCGGCTGCAGGTCGCGGCCGAGGCCTAGCGAGGCGAGCAAGGCGGTGCCGCGGAGCAGCGCGCGCTGGATCAGCTTGGGCGTCCCGGAGCCGCCGCTGCGCTCCGCAGGGCTGCGCCGAGGCTCCTCTGGCTCGGGGCTCGGCCGCGGGGGGTCACCTGGCAGGGGGCACAGGGCTCAGGTTAGGCTGTCTTCCGGGCCCCAGGGACCCCCTCGGTGGCCCTGGGACCAGGACTGAGTTCTGCTCCCCATCACTCTTCCCTGAACCCAGCTCCTCCCTGTCCACCGTGTCTTCCCCGTCACACACACACTGTGGCCTCACAGAAGTGGGGGCAGGCAGTTAAGGCTGAGGAACCAGTAGAGAGGCAGCCAGGTGCTGGGAACCCAGAAGTGGGGGCACGGGGAAGAAGGTGGGCCATCAGGAGGTAAGCTAAGGCCAGATCAGAGCCCATCTTAGTGGCCTCAATGGCTAGGCTGGGAGCATCTACGGGGTTCCAGGGACAGAACTGGAACCTGTGCCCACCTCCTTCCTGTCTGGGCAGCCCTGGCCCTTCTGCCTGTCTGTGTCTACTCCAGTGGTAGCTTCTCCAGGGCACACAGGTCAATTCCAATGTACACAATAGCCCCAAAAGGTACATGTCACTGTCCCAGTCTAGAAATGAGGAAACTAATTTTCTGAGTGTCAAGCCCAGAGAAGTCAGTTCTTTCTGTCAGGCCTGAGCTGATGACTTAGGAGCATTAAGTTGTCAAATACTCATGCCCCAGGGGTTCCAGGATCAGAGAGGTTAAGGGCTGGTGTGTTGAGGCTGCACAGCCAGTGGAGAGCAGAGTTGGCCCTCCAGGCAGGGGCAACAGAGCCTCTGCTCTCCACCACCTCCCATCTAGACTCTGGGCTGGATTTCAGGACATTTTAGCCCACCTGTGGGCCTAGAGTTGGCCTGACTCCATTCTGGACCACCTGCAGTGGGTCTGGGGAGTCCATCATTGAGGAGGTAGGAGGTCTCCGATGGCTTCCCACAAACCCCAGTTTTGTCAGGTCCTCCTTGGCTGGGCTTTCAAAGCCTTCCCCCTTCTCCTTGGGCCAGGCCTGGAGTAAGTCTGCCTGGAGTGGAGTATGGGGCTGAGTATTCAGAGGCAGAAATTCCAGGCTGGGAAAAGTGAGCTACTATGAACCAGGACTTAGTTTGGGTCCCCATTCTCAGCCACAACCCTTATCCCAGTCTCTGACTCTTATCCCCCCCCCGCCACTCTGCCCATGGCCACTGCCTTCTAAAATGCAAATCTGCTGAAGACAGGTTTATCTGCTTAAAAGCTCCCCATCATTTCCAGGCCCTTTCTGAACTGGCTCCTGCCTGCTTTTCCAGCTTCTCTCACTCATTCATTCAACAAACACCTGCGGATCCATGTGCTGAGGCTGCAGGCCTGGCGCCTGCCTGCTGTCTCAGCCCCGCAACTCTCTGGCTCCCGACTCTCCCTCTGAGTCCCACTGAGTTTCGTCTTCCTCAGGTGTGGCAAGCCCCAGGCCCACGCACACAGTGTTCTCTCTGCCTGGCGCACCTTTCCCACCTCGGCTTTCAGTGGTCTCCTATTCACCATTCAAGACCCAACAGAGATTTCACCTCTTCTGTGTAGCTGTGATATTATGATTTACAATGAATATGTACTTGGTCTCTATCTCATTCCTGACAAAGAATGCCTAAAACCTTGGAATTTCCTAAGTGACCAATTGATAATGGTGAAAGAAATGTCTTCTGTTACTCATAATCAGCCCCTTTTAACCACACCCGAGTTCATATAAATGTGGTCACTTTGGGAAAGCTCATAAGGATGGGGACTGGTTGCAGGGAAACCAACCATGATTAGCGGGTTGGCGCTCTCAGCTTTCACCCTTCTTCGGCCCACCACTTACTGCTCTTTACGATACTTATTTATGAAGCTGCCTCTGCCACCAGACTAGGCCCTCCCTGAGGGAGAGATCAACATGTGGATCTCTAACATGTTGATGCTTGACTCATAAAATGCATCAACACATGTTTGATGGAAGAATCCATTCTTATAATCTTCAGACCACATAAATGATAAAAAAACTGATCATTTATAGTGAGTTTACACAGAACAGGGAAATAAAAACATGTTTAAAACCAGCAAAAAAAGTGGGACAAAGGTAGTGAAGATGGAGGTCAGTACACAAAATGAGAGCAGAAAGAAGTTCCTGTGGTCAACAGCCTGAGAAACTGAGGTTCCCAGAGATAAGCGACTTGCCCAAGGTAACTCAGCAAGGATTTTAATTTGTCTCTAAGCTTCCTGGCAGTAGGAGGGGTCAACCCTGTTTAGGAGAAAGCAGCACACTCATTCTTGAGCCAGAGATGAAAGTGAAATCACTTGCATGGGGCCTCATGGAGGTAGTGGGTAGTTGGCCATGGGGTAGTTAGTAGTTCCAGGACAACCAGCTTCACAGGGCAGCTTCTGTCAGTGTAAGCTGACTGCATCCATTAATATGCAACTCACTGCAACCTGTTCTCCAGAGGCCAGAACACCCAGGCAGGGCTAGGGGTAGGAGAAAGGGCTCCCCAGTGGTGTGGCTTACGCCTGTGATAATTTCAGCCAGGCTTCTGACTGTGGGTGGCTGGGAGGTCAAGGTCATGGGCCCAAGATGGCAACTGGAATGTGGGCCTCTGCTAGGGGAACCAAGTGCTTGGCCAGCAGCTGAGCTGGGGCAGGTGATATCCTTTCAGGTAAGGGGGCAGGCTTGAGAAGGATGGGGCCCAGGTATTGTGCCCCTGCCCATGGTTGCTCAGGAAGGGCAAGGCCAAGGGGATCTATAGGACATGGTCAGGGGCTGCTTCAACCTACACACTGGGGTTGACAGGACCTCAAATTCTCCCATGGCCCTCTTGACCTGCTATTTTCTACAGCAAGTGATTCCAAGCAGCCCCCTTGGCCTTCTAATTCTCAGTTGAGTCCCTGTAGCACAGACAGTTTGGCACAAAGCAAATGCTGGAGAAGAAAATGGTACAGCAGATGGGAGTTCAAATCCCTGTGCTGCTGTGTGCCCTACATCAAATTACTTAACCTGGCCTTCAGTTCCCTCTTCTATAAAGTGGCTCTAACAGTAACACCAACCTCGTACCATTGCCTGGCTCATAGGGGAGACCTAGTATTAGCGCTGTTCTTACTATCAAATGTAGCTCAGGTAATGGTGGAGGTGGTGTGCCAGGTGGGATAAAAGGGATGAGTCCAAATTGCTTGCCGAACAGGACTCTGGGCTGCCAGCAGCTCAGCCAGGTCCCGTATTCTTGCTGTGAGGAGCAGGGGCCTCCGAAGGGACCCGCAGGCCAGGAAGGTTTCAGCTTTCTAGCCCTGCCAGTGCTGAGCCAGTCTTTTATCCCTCTGAGAAACCTTTAAGTGAAAACTCTGGAGGAAGCTCACTATGAGCTTGGGAGCCAAAGTCTCTCTGGGTTCACTTCCTTAGCTGGGGGCTTTCAGTGGGCCACTTTCTCTAAAATGGGGATAATAATGGAACCTCCCCACAGGGTTGTTGCTGGGAGCTATTATCAGATCCTAGGAAACAGAAAAGCCAAGAACTGCCCCAGATGCAGAAGGCCCTGGATTCCCACTGTTCAGCTTTCTTATCTTCTTCACCACCCACAGACTGTCCAGAAGGGGCTCTGAGAAGCACAGTGTAGAACCTACTCCACATAGCAGTTTTCTTTCTCTCTCTGGGCCCAGCGTCCCTTGGGTCCCAAATTGGGTGGGGAGATACCATTCCCTGTCTTCCTTCCCTGGAGCCTGCTGCGGGCACAGAAGCTGCCACAGGGCCAGGAAAGAGCCCTCTTGAAGGCTAAGCCTGAACAGCAGGGCCAGATCCTGGGCCCCCTGAGGCCTGGGCTGTATCCAGCTCAGTCATGGGCAAAGAGGTCAGACCTGGGTTCTAGGAATGCTTTGCCCTGCCTGCTGGCTTCTTACAGCCTTCCCAGAGTCCCCACAGGAGTACAGCAAGAGCCTGCTGGGGGAGACAAGGCCACTCACCGTTGAGCATTGGGGGTGTGGAAGGAGATCCTAAGGGGGATGAGTCATCTGAATCCAGGTACCAAGTGGCTTCGTCCACACGGGATCGTCTCCTGGTGAGAGGACAGGAGGGGAGATGTGTTTCATGATTCTCGGGACTGCTGGGAGGTAGGTGATACTGGGGTGGGGGACACTCAGGCACTCACCTTCCATTCTGGGCTTCTCCAGGCTTGGGAGAACTGGGACCCCAGGCCCAGTATGCTCGCCGCTCTCCATTGCTTGAGTCCTCCAAACGTCGGGGGGACTGGCGGCCCCAAGTCTGGCCTGGTTCTGCAGGCTCCACTGTTGAGGGAAAATGAATGGAGTCTGAGCTGAGGTCAAAAGCTCTGACCCTTGTCCTCCCATTATGAGTGTCAGACTCCAGCGGCAACTTCTCAGAGCACTGGGGATCAGGGTGGGCCCCGCACTATTTCTAGGGCAGGCTCTGGGCCACAGAGAACCTGAGCACCACTGGTCAGGGTAGGAGGGTGTGGGTCCTGGGGCTGGCAGTGCGGCAGGCAGCTTATCCAGCCCTTCAGCCAGCACCTGCTGCTGCTTAGTGCAGACACTGCCGCAAACTGCCTAGTTTGTGTGACGGTAGACAAGTCACTTTTTTCTTTTCTCATCTATGAAACTTAGATAACAGTATCTGCATTTTAGGGTTATTGTGAGAAATTAAGCTAACAATAGCCATGCACTTAGAAAAACGAGTGGTACATGAGTCTTGCAATTGTTAGACTTAAAAAAACCAAAACAGTAGAGTAAATGCTGCTTGGGTAACTGAGAAACTAGTCTAGATGGACAGTGGTGGGATCCTGGGAACGGGGAGGAAGAGGAGGAGGTGACCTTAGTATGACTGACAGAAGGATAAGGGCTGGGGGAAAGGCATGGGACATTTTCTTACACTGGATGGCCCGGAATCTGGGAAAGGTAGGCGAGTCCCCAGCCCCAACTTCGAAAACGTTTCTCCTCCGGTCCAGGCCGGGCGAGGCCTGCACGGTGATGCGGTGTTTGAAGTCTGGGGGTGGAGGATGAAGCAGGGTACCGGTGGAGATCCAGGATCCCAACCTGTAGGGACCCCGGCGGGTTCCCGACCCACGCAGGCAGTGCAGGGCCCGGGCCCGGCACGGTGACGATGTGGCTGGGGCCGGCTTCACTGCCTTCTTGGGCTCCAGGCTCTCAGTAAGGAAAGTGAACCGCCTAGACCCCACCGCAAGGAATACCGCGGCGGAGCAAGGGAAGCGGCCCGCCCCACCCACAAGGCCTTCCCAGAACTTGAGCTCCGCCCCTTCCCGGCCGCAGCCACTGGCAAGGAGTATTTCCGCTAGACCCCGCCCACACACGAAAACATACTCCGCCAAACCCTCCCCTCCGGCCACGCAGCCAATGGCGGGGCGGCGTGCTGAGGCGCTGCCCTTACCGAGGGGCATGCTAATGCGCTCGCCGCCGTCGCGCGCGCGGAGTTTGCTGCGCTTGAAGGTGCCGCGCCGGCGGCGCACGTGCGGCCGCTCGCGGTCCACCTGCTGCAGCAGCAGCGTCAGCTCGCGCTCGAACACCTCCAGCTCCCATTGAGCCAGCAGGTGCTCGCGCCGCCGCAGCTGCTCCGCCTGCGACCGTTGCTCACGTGCTGCGCGGGTCAGCTCCTCCTCGCGGCTCAGTAGTTCCTGTGTCCCGGACAGCGATGGCAGTGAGGTCAGCCCCGTACGGACTCTGGCGCCCGCCCCCACTCTCTGCCCCCTGGACACATTTCTTTCCTTAAAACGCTGGGACCTCTACCCCTCCTACCTTTTCCTTGGCCCGCAGCTCGTCAAAGAGGCTTTGGATCTCGCGCTTCCAGCCTTCCTGCATGGAATGGAAGGAGTCCCGCGGCATTTCTCGCAGGACCTGCGCCTCTAGCGCCTCCAACTGCTGCAGGATGGAGGCGAAGTCGGGCCTGCGGTGGGGGTCCTGCGCCCAGCAGTCTAGGGACACGGTGAAGCGGGACAGAATAAGAAGGGGTCTGGGGGTGGATGTATCCTGGACCAAGGTCTGCTCCTCACCCTCCTGCTCCAACCCCTTACCGGCCATAAGCTGTGCGAAGGGCTCAGGGCAGGTGGATGGGATGGGCAGTGTCAGCTTGTTAACAGCCACTCCGTAGGCTACAGCAAGGCAGTCGATGCCTCGGTAGGGCACCTCCCCGGTCAGCAATTCCCAAAGCAGCACCCCAAAGCTGTGGGAGAGACAAAGGGTCTGTGTTCCCCTCCTCTGCTTCATCATTGCCATTTCATCCCAAAGCACCAAGGAACTAAATGGTTTGGGTCCCTCCCCCTGGGCTCCACCTGTCTGTCCAGGGCTAGATTTTCACAGCCACCTCTGCCCTCTGCAGCCCCATAGCTGTCTCGGTCCAGCCTCCACTAAGGTCGCACCTCCAGACATCGCTGCCCTTAGAGAAGGTGGAGGCCTTGATAACCTCGGGAGCCATCCAGGCATAGGTGCCCGCAGCACTCATTTGCGTAGTTTTGTGCCATTCTCGGGCCAGGCCGAAGTCAGTGATCTTCAGGGTCTTGTGCTCCATGTCGTCACCCTCAATGGGCTGCAGCAGCAGAACTGGGGAAGAGGAGGGGCAGGATTGTGGGTGCTGCAGGTTCAGGTGGTGAGGACAAGGAAGGAGTTGGGAGCAAACACACCTGACAGACATCCTGGCTGGGTACTGGGGGCATGGAGGTGATCTTGCCTTGGAGAGCTCAGAGCTGGGGTTGGGGGTAGAATCAGACAAAAATAACAATGCTGGGAAATATTTACAGAGGGGCAACTAGAGGCCAGGCATTTTACACTCAGCTCTGGCACCCACAAAAAAAAAACCCTAGGAGGTAGACTTCATTACCCTCCTTCTTCCACAGAGGAAACTGACTTAGTCAATTTATCATATGCAGATAAAGCAAAGATTTCGTCCTGGTCTGTAGCTCCAAAGCCAGTGCTCTAACTCTTCCTTAACACTGCACTGAACAGAAACACAGTGTGGTAGCCGCTCAGGACTTGCGGCTCAGACTGAAACGGGGCCTCCATACTCTGTGCAGAGATGGGAGACAGCAACCTGCAGATATCTCATCAGGACAAATGTGGCTCAAATGAGAGAAGTTTTACAGGAACAGAAAGAGAATAAAATCTTAAAGCATCCATAATTTGAAGGGGTCTCTACTTTTCTGGTTATAGCCAGCTGCGGAGAAGTGACATCCACACCAACCACATTTTTGAACACATGTCATTTCAGGGCACACACATCTCTTAGCTCTTCTGCCCAGGATGACAGCACCATTATATGGGGAGCACAGAATACTGGGGATGGAGCAGAGGACAGACATCTGGTGATTCAGGGAAGACTTCATAGAGGAGGTTGTAGAACCAGGGTCTTCCCTTTCCCAGGCTTAAAGCCACAATTCCTATCCTGCAGCTGGCCAGGCTCTCTGGGCCTCATGGGGCATCTGCTCAGCTGCCCAACCCCTCGTGGCTGCCTTTGGTTCCAGGGCCTCGGACTGCTTGTGCTGTTTGTGTCAAGACCTCCCCTCCCCTCAGCCATTTCAACACTGGTGCTCCTCAGAGCCTGACCTCTCCTCAGCCACTGCCCATCACCCTCAGGCTGTCTCAGTCTCTCCCAGGTGCCAGGTGCCCCCTCCTCACATTTGGAGCTCTAGGCCATAAGTTGATTCAGTTGCCTATCAGCTTCCCTGCCTGGTGTCCACACACCCTCGCCAATCACCTGCATCGTTCCCCCAGTACGTGGCAATCTTCCTGCAGTCCACCCTCTCCTCTGAGCCAGACTGCAGCTGAGACCCAAACAGTTAATAAAACTGAGGACGATAACAAACCTGCCTCAGAGGGACCTCAGGAGTTCTTAACAGGACCACACTTTTTAAGCTTTAGCATTGGGTCTGGTAACTGACATGAGTATACTAAATGCAAGTTGTCCTAAAGATCCTGCCACTTGTGTCCCTCGTGTTGCCTGTCTTCTCCATCCTCTATCACGACTTACTCCCAGCTTTGCAACAGCCACCAGCCTGGCTGCTGGAGGGGTGGAACCAGACACAAGCTCACTCTAAAGAACCGCAGCACACCGGAGTGGCACCAGGCAAAGGGGTCTGTGTGCTGGGACTCGGAAGGTACTCTTGACCAAAACTGGCTGCTTCTTGGGCAGATCTCTAGCCACTTGTGCTACCTGACATGCAAGGGAAGCACTTTCTACACCAGCATTTTAGGCTGGGAGGCCAGCCTTCCCTTTTCATTCAGGTAATCAGGCCTAGAGAGGGGCAGCAACTCATCTGAAATCTCAGGACTTCTTATTACTGGTGGCCTTTCTGCCTCCTCCCACTCCCAGCTCCACCTGACACCTGCGAGGCCTCATCCTCACCTTCCTTTCCCCTGCTTTTCCCAACCCAAGTTGCTTTTCTGGTGTCTGATATAGATCTTGAGGATGCAGTGGTTGGGAGCCACCCAGAGGACGGGGGAGGGTGGGGGGAGAGGTTCCAAGACTCTCCATGCCCCCTTAGGGCTCCCTGGCTTCTGAAGGGGACCTGGTCCCCAGCCCCTCACTGGGCTGGCCTCTGTAGGGCTTGGGAGAGGCCTAGGCAGCTCACACCTCTTCCGCTTTCCTCCCATGGTCCCTACTTCTCCTTTCTAGGAGGCATGGGCCAGGTCTTCAACTTGGGGGGGCGGGTTCCTTTGAGGGAGAATTGGAGGAGGTCAGGCCCAGGCCGGGCTGGCTGGTCAGTCCTGTGACTCGTGGGCCTGTAGAATTCCCCCTCCTCTCCCCACCAGGCTTCCTCACAAGGCCCCCATTGTCCAGGAAAATCACGCCATTGTTTCCTGGCTGTGCCCCCCCAACCCAGGGACTCCCCCCCACATCCCGCAGACAGCACTCTGGGCCTAGGACTGGGGTCCTTGAGGTGGGAGGCCATACTCAGGGAAGCTGAGGGCACCTTGCCTGCCCTTCATCACCACCCAGACTCTGGGAAGCAGGGCAACTGGGGGGAGTGGGGGTGTGATCCCTGGCTCCTTCCTCTCCCACAAACCCCCCACCCCCAGCTCTTTCCTCTCCAGCAGGCAGCTGGGCTGGGGAGGGAGCAGAGACTGGAGCAGGGGCAGGAAGCCGGCTCAGGGGCAGCAGGAAACGCAGGAAGCTGTGGGGAGGGTGGGGAGCAGGGGCCTGGGCTATTGTTCCATTTTCTCTGGAAAGAAAACCAGAGGAAAAACAGAAGACCGGAGTCCCCTCCCCCCAAACCTTCGGGGAATCCCCCTCAGGCTGGGGCAAGGAGTGGGGGGTCCCTAGATCGTTAGGTCCCAGGAGTGAGGCTAGAGGTGGTAAGTGCCCCCTACTGTGGATGAGGAGTGGGTGGGGTGGCTGACAGGCCTCCCCCTGCCCCTGAAGCCCTGGCAAGGACATGGATGTCACTGGGTCCGTGTGTTGTGCTCCCCCCAGGCTCCTTGTCTATGCTCAATTGAAGCCAAGACGACTAAAATATCCATGCTCAGCCCTCCAAGAGCTGCCCATGCCTCTCCAGTAATCCACTGGCTCCTGCACTTCCTACTGCTCCACAGCCTGCACCCTGGGCCCCAGAAGCCCAGCCCCGGGTCCCCACCACTGTGCTGGGTCCTGCCCCTTTGCCTCTGCCCTGGTCGGGCCCTGCCCAGATAATCAGCTGGATGCCTCTGAACACTGCTTGCTTTTGGCCTGGTGTAAAGCTTGCCTGCTCCAGGAAGCCCTCTGAACCTGTCACTAGCTTGTCTTGGGCCCACGCTGGCCAGTGTGAGGGGCCTGAAGTGGCAGGAGATGGAGTGCCTCACTGCTTGAGTCTCCCTTGGCCCCACAACGCCCACCCCAAGTGCTGATTCCAGGCAAGGCCCTCAAATGTCCACACCCACGGCTGAGGGCCCACCATCAGATGCCAGGGCTTGCCCAGTCTGTTAAGCCATTTCGCCTTCCTAGTCACTCCCTTTTTACAGAGTCCAAAATTGAGGCTCTGAGTTGAAATAACCAGCTAGGAGTCACGCAGCCAGAGGGAGGGTGGGGACAGAATTCCAACCCTGGCCTTAGCCTTGACCACCACAGGGGGCTTTCCCCTTCCAGGCCTCTGTTTTGGAGGAGCTGCGCCTCAAAAGCGGAGGGGAGAGCATCCACAGTGCAGGTACAAGCTCTGGGGGATGGGAAGGTGAGGTGTGGCCATGGCGAGGCAGGATGCTCATGGCATACCTGAGAGACTGCAATTTTTTAACTTGCAGCTGTGAGCTAGGGTCATAGACTCCTGGGGCATGAAGGACTCTGGTGCCTGGGACTTCTGCTTTGGGGCGAGTGTGAGCTCATGCGCTGCTCCTGCCTCTAGCAGGTCCCCAGGCAGGCTCAGCTGAGAGTTGGCATCAGGTGTGCACTTGGGCCATGCCACCCTCCAACCACACTCCCCAAAACTCACTGTTGTTGGACTTGAGGTCTCGGTGGATGACAGGCACCAGGGCCTCACAGTGCAGATAGTGCATCCCACGGGCAATCTGCACAGCCCAGTTGACCAGCACATGGGGGGGCACACGCCGCCCAGCCAGGGCACGGCTGAGGGGCCCTCCAGCCGCATACTCCATCACCAGGCACAGGTTGGGCTCCTCCAGGCACACGGCCTTGAGGGCAATGATGTTGGGGTGTGCCAGCATGGCGAAAAGCCGGGCCTCTTGGCGCACACTCTCAGCTGTCACACTGATGTCCTCGTCGGGGTCCTGGCGAGCTGCCTTCACAGCCACTAGCTCACCTCGCCAGCTGCCACGGTAGACCTTGCCGAAGCCACCAATGCCGATCACCTCCTCCAGCCGAAGCTCCTGGAAGCTGGCTACTTCGCAGGGGGGCGGGCCGCCACCCCGAGACACATAGTTGGATGGAAAGATGCCCACCTGGCCGCCCACCTGGCCTGCCCACCAGCCCTCATCGCCTGAGATAGCTGCATCTCGGGACAGCACCTCCACACGGTCACCCTTCCTCAGGGCCAGCTCGTCCTGCCCATTGGGCTCATAGTCAAACAGGGCTGTCCACACAGGGTTGGCGTAAGCTGCTGCCTTCGGGGACCCCTCTGGCCAGCCTCCACCGCCACCCCCACTGCCCCCACTTCCACTGTTCCATGACCCTAGCGGGCTCTTGAGGAAGAGGTTCTTCAAGGGCTCCATGGGTGGAGCTGGTGTTGGGGCGTGCGGGGGACCTTCCTGGGGTGTCCCTGCTCCCCACCCCTGCTGGCTGCCCAGGCCCTAGTCCTGGAACCTGGGCATCTAGGCCCTGGCCCTCAGCCCCAGACCCACGCCTCTCTGGGGAGCCAGGAGTGTCGCCTCCTGGCCCCCTGCATCTCGGGCTTTTAGAGGAGGGCCACCCAGGGCGGTTTGGTCAGGCTCGGGGGGTGGGACCCCGGCGCCTCCGGCGTCTCACCATGGCTGGCTCAGAGGGGCCCGGGCGTCCCTCAGTTCTGGAGCAGTCCTGGGAGCCTGGCTCCGACACCCACCAAGTGCAAGGTGGGGCCACCGAGAGGCAGCGCCTGGGCTCCGGTGGGGTCTGTTAGCGCAGGGAATGGCTGGAGTGTTCCTAGTTGAGCAGAGCTGCCTTTTCCCAGTGCAGCTCCCTCGGCCCGACGGCTCCAACCCCGTTCCCTTCTTCCTCCTCCCTTTGTACTTTGGCCCCGGGGGCGGGAGGCAGAGGTGGAGGGTGGAGTTTCACTTTTTTCCGCTCTTCTCCCTCCTGCAGGAAACAGCATCAGATGACGCAGGCGGGTAGCACTGCACCCCTCCCAGAGACGGCAGGCGGCTGTGCCGGGGAATTCCCGGCTAGGCGGGTTAGGGTAGCCCCGACCCCGCCACCCCATCAAAGAACGCTCAGGGTCGAGGCTGCTCTCTGCCAAGGACGGGCCACCCGGCGTCTGCATCCACATCAGCAAAACGGGGTATAGAATGTGGACTCGGGAGTGGGGCAAACCCGAGTCTGGTCTTGGCTCCGAAGTTTCAGGGCTATGTGCCCCATCCTCTTTTGGCCTCATTCTTTTCATATCTGAAATGGGGACTAGAAGCTCTGCTTGTCAGAGCTAGTGGGATGGGGTGGGGGAGATCGGAGGACGGAACGGCTGCACCTCAAGCGCCTGGAACAGACGGTTTAAGGCTCTCCTCCTCCCTTCACCCGGGAAATACATTTCTTCACTCCCCTTCCCCAGTGGGCGGAAACCCGAGGCTGCTGTCCCGAACTTGGTTCAGTGACTGGATTCAGGATTGCTAAATCGCCCTCACAACCGCGGAATTTACCCCAATTGCCTTAAGCCTGTCACTTTAAGAAGAACGACGCTATCCTATTTCGATTATTCCTGCCTGTCGCTGAGAGTCGCTTTCTACACTCTATGTCTGAGCTCTGCCCCGGAAGCAGACAGGTAGCTTGGGGACAAGAGACGCCCGTCATGTTTGAGGTCCAGTACCAAAAATGGCGGGAGGGGGAGGAGGAGTGTGCTCGAGTGGCACAGACCTATCGCTGAAGCCCTGGTGAGCCCACGCCTCCATCCTTTGCCCCGCCTCTTGCAACTCATTGGGAGAGCTTTGCGCTAATTAACTCCGCCAGTGGCCAATCAACTATTCTTTCGGTTCTGCCCAAAGGTCCCCGCTAGGTTGGCACCGCCTAGACGTACGCATGCGCTCTAAGTGCTTCTACAGTTTGGATCGTCTCCTTTAAAATCGGGACTCTGCTCACGCCCAATCCTCCGCTTCTAATCGCGCCACCACCTCCTGGCGCTTGCGCATTCGTGCCGTCAGGTTTTCTTTTTCCGGGTCCCAATTGGGGCCCATTGGGCGCATGCGCCACTGCAGGCTGGCTGCTCGCGGCTGCTTCTTCCGGCCTTCCCCTGGGGCCGGCTCCCGCAAGAGCGGGGTGAGCTCGGACCCCGAAGCGAGTGACCTGTGACCCCGGAAGTGGACCTCAGGGTCCCGGGGCTCTCCCCGGGCCGGAGCCGAGGGAGCCGTCGCCTACACCCCCGGAGTACCCACCCCACGCCCACCTTTGGATGCAGCCGACGGGTGCTCGGTCCGCCCCGCGCCTACCCGCCGGCTCGCTCCCTCGGAGCAGTTCTGGGCCGGGGGTGGGGGCCCGGATCCCGCCTACGGTGCGGCTCCACCCCCGCGCCCAGGCCTCGCACCGCTGACTGTCCCGGCCGGCCCCGCCCCCTTCCCGCACCCTTGCTCCGCAGACCACTCTCCCCCGGTGGGGGAGGCCATGGCGTGAGCGTGAGGCCGGGCCCCGGGGCCCTCGGGCGCCAGGCGGGGCATGGGCCGGGGGCCGCCCTCATGAGGGTCCCGGGAGGGGGACGCACGCATCAGCGGCGGGGCCATGGGGTCGCAGGTATTGCAGATCCTGCGCCAGGGGGTGTGGGCCTCGCTCACCGGCGGTTGGTTCTTCGATCCGCACCAGAGCACCTTCTCCAACTGCTTCCACCTCTATGTCTGGATCTTCTTGCTCACCTTCCCCTTCTTGCTGTACATGGTGAGACGCCGCCGCCACCTGTAACTCGGCTGGGGAAGGAGAGGGCAGATGTCAGGGAGGGGTGGCAACCTGGCAGGGATTCGGGGCCGTGACCTGGGTGTTGCGGTGTGGAGAGAAGAATCACTGCAGAGCTTGGGGGTGTAAGGGAGAGGCCAAATTCTTTCTTTTCTGAGCTGCGTGACCTTGAGTCCCTGACTTAATCTTTCCCGTTAAAACACAGAGCTCTCTGATGGGGTGTTTGTACCAGTTACACGGAGGGGTGATGCAGTTTTGTGAATTTGTGAATCCTGTCCTTGACTATGGTGCTAGATGCACCTCATAGGGGCAAATCTGTGTGAGGAGGGACCTGACTTGCTGCCACCTCCAGGTCCTGCCCCCCAGCTTGATGGTGGCTGGCGTGTACTGCCTTGTGGTGGCTGTCATCTTCTCTACCATCAAGACTGTGAACTATCGGCTGCATGCTATGTTCGACCAGGGCGAAATTGTGGAGAAGCGCAACTCCACCATGGGGGAGCTGGAGGAACAGCCTGCCCAGGGGGACAGCAGTCTGCCCAGGTGTGTTGGACAGAGGCTGTGCTGGGAATTGAGGGATCTTGGTGCATGGGCCTGAGCATGAGAGGACAGAGGAGGGGCTCAGGGAACAGTGGCTCCATGAGGGGGTTGAGTGCTTGTTTCACGGTTGGCCCTGGACTTGTAAGGAGACCCTTGAGAAGCAGGGAGTGGTGAGAATGGTGGAGGAAGTTACTATATAAAGAAGGCAGGTTAGATCAAAGGCAATGCTTTTCTCCACTGCCAGGGACCCTGGAGTGGAGATGACAGTGTTTCGGAAAGTGAGTTCCACACCCCCAGTACGCTGTAGCTCCCAGCATTCTGTGTTTGGCTTCAACCAGGTCTCGGTGAGTGCTTCTGGCTCTCAGCCTCTCCCGCTCCTCTCCTGGGAGCCTGTCCCCACCTTGGGTATGTCCTGAGCCTACTTCTTTCTGCTCTCTTGGCTCCTTCATGCCTCTCTTTGTCTACTCAGGAGTTGTTGCCCCGGATGGAGGACTCTGGCCCCCTAAGAGGTAGGTGGCTGCTGCTCAGGGCTGACAGTCATAATGTGGGACAAGGGGTGGAATGTAGATGTCTTGGGATCCTGTTGACACTTCCGGGGCCATGGTTGCAGACATCAAGGAGTTGGTGCGGGAGCAGGGCAGCAACAACGTGATTGTCACCTCAGCTGACCGAGAGATGCTGAAGTTGAGCTCACAGGAAAAACTGAGTGAGCATAATATGGCGGGGGCTTGCTGGGGAAGACTGGTTGTCTCGTCTTTGAGTCACCCCAACTTTTTCTCCCCTGGAGCTCTCTGTCTTTCTAATGGGGCCTCCTCAGTGTCTTGCCCCAGCTGGATTCTTTGCAAGTGGAGGCCACAGGCCTCCGTTAGCTACCCATTCCTTCGGTGGCATGCTCTCTCATTTTCTGTCTCCTTTTCTTCTGCTAGTTGGAGACCTTCCCCAGACGCCCCCGGGGGCTGCCCCAGACCCCTCTCTCCCTAGCACGGACTCTTCAGAACGTTCTCCCCTCGCTGGAGATGGAGCCCCCTGGAGTGGGAGCAGCGTGGTTGACACTCCCATGAGCCCTCTACTGAAGGGGAGCCTCAGCCAGGAGCTGAGCAAGAGCTTCCTGACCCTGACCCGGCCTGACCGGACCCTGGTGAGGACCAGCAGTCGACGGGAACAACGCCGGGGAGCGAGTGGCTACCAGCCCCTCGACCGGCGGGGCTCGGGTGAGCCAACACCCCAGAAAGCTGGCTCTTCAGATTCCTGCTTCAGTGGCACTGACAGGGAGACATTGAGCAGCTTCAAGAGTGAAAAGACCAACTCCACCCACCTGGACAGCCCGCCCGGGGGGCAGGCCCCTGAGGGCAGCGACACAGACCCCCCCTCTGAGGCTGAACTGCCTGCCTCACCAGATGCTGGAGTCCCCTCAGATGACACACTGCGTTCCTTTGACACAGTCATAGGAACAGGGACACCACCGGGTCTGGCTGAGCCACTCCTGGTTGTGCGGCCCAAGGACTTGGCCCTGCTGCGGCCTAGCAAACGGCGGCCACCTATGAGAAGACACTCCCCGCCTGGCCGTGCCCCTCGGCGGCCCCTGCTTGAAGCGGGGGGCTTCTTTGAGGATGAAGATACCAGCGAGGGCAGCGAACTGAGCCCGGCCTCTAGTCTTCGATCTCAGCGCCGCTACAGTACTGACAGCTCCTCTTCTACTTCCTGCTACTCCCCTGAGAGCTCCCGGGGTGCAGCAGGGGGACCCCGGAAGCGAAGGGCCCCCCATGGGGCTGAAGAGGGGACTGCTGTGCCCCCTAAGAGGCCCTATGGGACCCAGCGGACGCCTAGTACTGCCAGCGCCAAAACACATGCGCGTGTGCTGAGCATGGATGGGGCAGGGGGTGATGTCCTAAGGGCCCCCCTGGCTGGCTCCAAGGCTGAGCTGGAGGCCCAGGCAGGGGTGGAGCTGGCTGCTGGTGAGCCTGCTGTGCTACCTGCCGAGGCCCGCAGGGGACCCGCTGCTAACCAGCCCGGATGGCGGGGGGAGCTGCAGGAGGAAGGTGCCGTTGGGGGAGGTGAGTGCGGGCTCTAGGGCTGGGAGTGGGGGTGAGCTAGGTAGGCGAGGGGCAGGCTGGAGAGCACCTGGCCGGAGTCAGCTCAGCCTGTGTCTCAGAGCTGAGGGCGGTAGACTCAGTGGCTGAGGAGCCCAGTCTGCCCAGCCTCCCTGACGAGCAGGGCTCCAACAGTGGAGCAGTTGAGGCAGCAAGACCTCGGACCTCTGGCCCAGGTCCTTGATGCAGTTAGCACAAAGCCCCTGCCCTCGGACAGTGCTCGGCCTCTGCATGCCCCCTCCGGGCCATCAGCATGGCAGGGCAGATCGAGTCCTTGTTTCCAAATGTGGAAACTGGGTGGTTAGGTGACCTGGCAGGGCCCCAGAGGCAGGGCTTGCTTGGACTAGGCTTGACCTTTAGTTCCACACGGGAGCTGCTGCCGCCACTGCCCAGGCTCTGTCCAAGCTTCAGTCACTTACGCTGGGGGGTCTCTCTCTGGACAGCGGCAGAGGAGATGGGCAAACGGGACCGCTCGAGTAGTGTGAGGCGGACCCAGGCCATCCGGAGGCGCCACAATGCCGGCAGCAACCCCACCCCTCCAGCCTCTGTCATGGGCTCACCACCCAGGTGAGCACCTG